ATAAGGAAATGCCATACCTTCCAACTGCCCCCCCCTCCACCGAGTCCTGGCTGCCTGCTTCGCTGGGCGTGCTCACTGATTTCGAAGAAGGAGACATAGGGGTTGGGACTAAATAATGAAAATAACAGGTATCCCATGTTAACAAATGCAGCGGCTGCACTGATGGAGAGCAGTGTCAGACACAGCGAAAGAAAAAGGGGGTTAAATTAACAGGATGGATTGAAATGGTAAAAGCAAAAAATTAAAAAGAAAAAAAAAGAAAGGAAGAAAGTCAAATGTATTCCTAAACAGCTTTACATTTCCAATTTATAATGAACATGAATTGTTAAACTGGGTTGGGTGGTCAAAGACACCACATAAATGCACAGCAGGCAATGTTATGCTAATTATAACTGCAAAAACAACATACTGCTTTTTGTCTGTCTTTTAAAAGGGACCAACATCACAGCTAAAATTGCTTAGGTGTTGATTCAAAGTTTAGATTGCACAGCTTTAAAGAGTTTATAAAAGTACACACAGTTTACAATTGTACAATGTACACTATTACAGTCTCTTTTACACCACTTACTGTTTCTCACAGTGTTTTCAAGGTTCCTAGACTCCTCTAACACACACAGAGTCAGAAACATACTGCTGGTGTTTAGGAAACTGGCAGAACCTTCCGTGTGCTGTGATGGAAAACACAACAGCACATAGAGCCTAACACACAAGGTGTAACTACACCTCTACAGCATTGTGGCAGTCCCACAGGATTCCCCATGACCACAGGGGCCTAAGGGTTTATTTTTGGCTTGGATGTCTCTTTTGAAAGGCACCAGAAAGACTTTTCTTTTCAGACAAACCAGTATATTATTACTGCTGTTTTTGTTAATTGATAAATAGATTTTTATTAAACCATATGCACATCACACACAGTAGGACATTATAGTACCAATAATCTATAAGTGTTCTGAGAATTATTAAAACATATTGCTTCCTTTAATATTTTTTTTTCTGAATGACATATCTTTCCATGTGACAGAAAAGTAGTGAGAACCTTCCTGGATGTTTTGTGTTTATCTTTTACTCTTTGTTCATATCTGTATAAATTATCATATTACATTGTCACTATTGTATTTTTATTCCTGCTGTGTTTACTGTATGACCTATAATAATTTACTTAGACCCCTGGTAGGGAGTGGTCATTCCTTGGTTCCATGATATTAAGTAACTTTTTGCCATGCTCTAGCACCATGCCATGTTTAAAACCGCTTTGATTTTTTAAAATTTCCCTCAATTACTATTTGTTTGAACAATGTCATTTGGTAAATGGCATAAACATATGTTTACTGAACATAAACATATGCACTAGCTGTTAGGTGTAATACTATTAAAATTCAAGTAGGGAGCTGCGTCAGCATGCGTAGGCTGCAAAGGAACAAGTAAAGGTTTATTCCAAGCTGAAAAAAGAAGAAAAGAAACACAACGTTTCGGTTGTGCAGCCTTCTCCAGGTGACATCTGAAGACACCTGAAGAAGACTCCAGAGCCGAAACGTTGTGTTTATTTTATTCTCTTTACAGCACGGAATAAACCTGTTATGTGTTCCATTGCATTTAAATATCTGAAATCAAATTAATTCTATCACTAACATTTCTAAATATCTTTAATTACTGTATTTTTATCAATACTTATGAAAACGTTCTTTGACAGTCTGAACTACTACTCCACACACATAGAACTTTTTCCACTTAATTAATTTCACTTAGTTAGAAATAACATCATAATCAGAAAATGTATGCAGTATAATGGGAGTTTTAATGAAATTATTCAAACAGCTCATGAGAGTGTGAAAGAAAATAAACTGACAGTATGAGGATGGAATTGTATGCATTGGTTCAGTAAAAGCAGATGATCCTGCTTAGCATAATACAATACTTTATGTTAATTTAATTTTATAAATATAGTGCTAAACACAATATTTTATACACATACCAAAGTAAATAATGGACATTTAGCATATTATACAAATTTGCATGACTTCATTCCAATAAAAGATTTTCTTAATTAAATTAATAACTTAAGCTCTTTGATGTGTTGCATTTATAATGACCTTATTTTATGGCACAAAATAGCTGGGTCCCTAATTTCGTCAGAGTGTGGTCAAGGTATGATAACAACTTGCATAGATACAGAATATCAAGTACTGTATATCAAGATTTCTAAAATATTTTTTTCATAATAAATGCAACACATTATCTTATTCATATAATAGTATGAATAGTAATATATAGTATTTCAGACAATTATACATGTAAATGTATAGACGTATTGCTGACTATTATATTTCTATTAATTTAATTATCCAAGTTAAATGATTGTTTAAAGTCGTTTATGAACTGTATCCAAATATAAAATTGTGATTTAAGAATTATATAAAGACCAACTGACAACATTTTGTTTCATATTGAATTTAGGACAGGCAAAAGCAGTATTGTAGGTAATGAAATTTAGAATTTAATGAGACCTTTAATCCATTAGAAGCTTGATGGTATCAACACTGTTAGGCATGCAGTAAAAAAAAGGAAAATAAATAATGTGGCAAATGACCTGAGCAATTGTGCAAAAGGGTTCAGAAATAATGCAAAGTAACACAAAAATAATTCAGCTTTTAAGCCAATTTCATTTGGGATGAAACATGAATCTCAAAGCCAAACATGATTTAAATAAAGCCACATGACATTGTGCAGGAGGAATGAATACATTTTCATTAAAACTGTGCTGTCTGTCGATTCTGCAGCCGACAAAAACCAAAACATTTTTGACATGGCGGACTTTTATTTTTTGCATTTGTATCTGTTGGCCAAGTTGTCTGATCGTTCATGAAGCATGAAACCCACCTTCTTCTAACAGGACAGGCAGATGTGATCCATGCAGTTTGCTTTGATGTTCCCACTGTTTTGTATCAATGTAGGTAAGAACCAGAGATGCATCTACAGCACATCTGCATCACATTCCCGAATGCTCTCAGCCTGATCTCCTTTGATTGTGCTTTAACCTTGAGAGTTGTGCAGCTCACACTGAATCAGGATTGTTTACAGAATGTCCCGGCTGTTCCCCAGACAACCGCAGTCATCACGTTCCCTCTGTCAGTGCACCACTGAGAGGAGAACCGTTCTCCACACGGAGAGGATGAAGAGGTCCAGGTCTCTTACCTAAAGGGGGCTCTGGGGAGATGCCGATGCTCTGGAGCAATGCCTCAGTCTCCCTGCGCTTCCGGTCCAGATCCGAGTCCTCTGGAACCTGCTCCGTCTTCTGCTGCAGCTCTGACTGGCGTGTGCCAGGAGAGAAAAGGCCGATTAAAGGAACCAGCAGCTCCAGTGGCAGCTGTAAACTGCACACATGCTCCGAGGACACACCAAAGGACGGAGACATTTGAATGAATTAAAGTCCGAGTGTTTTTCAATCCTCCAAAACAATCAACATTTTTTTTTAAAAACCCACACATTTCCTGTTGGGAGCGAACATTTTTGACTTTCAACTCCTTTTATGAGTACATTTGTCTATATGAAACCTAAAGTGACTCCAGAAATGTACAGTAGCTGATGCATTTGCCCATCTTCGATAAGACTAACTGTTAATTGCTGTGCTTTCTCAGTGTCCCATTTTTATTACCAATCTACAGCCCTTTTGATAACTACCGCCACTCACTGCCCAACTGTACAAACCTTATTTTTGCCAACCACATCATCTAAATAACCTCAGTATCCTACATCCTATATCCCATGTGAGGACCGGATCTGTAGTTGACAGCTAGTTCAAATTAATGTGATCCAGTCACAGAAATATTGGGAACCAGGCATCAGCGTATGTATCAAGGTACACTATATGCTGGTGTTTCTGTCCCTTACCATTTTTGACTCGAGACAAGAATGTTATGCGCAGAAATAAAGCAATTCCCCCACCGCCCCCATCCGGAACACCGCAGGAACGGCGTGACACAGCCTCTTACCTCCTTCTTTTTCCTTTCCTCTTCCTTCCTCTTCTTCTCCTCCCGGATCTGGGCCAGCCGCTGCTTCTTGCGCTCCAGCTCCGCTTTCAGGTCACTTTTGTCCGACATCTTGGTCCACCTGTCAGGAAGAGCAGCCCAGTCTGTATGCAAGGGTCGGAATTTTGTGCTCTTCGACCGATCCATGAAGAACAGATTAGGAAGCTGAGATGTGGCAGACTCTTCCCTGAGACTCTTGTTCTGTGGTAGACGTCACACTCCAATGTTTGCTTGGACCTATGCTGGGATTACTGCCAGTGCAACCTCTGTGTAGCACACTCACATATTTACAACCATCGTGACCTTGGCTGTCCTTATTTGAGTTGGAACAAACATTTCAGTTTTTTATTCTTAATCCCAGAAAAAAAAAAACTGCATTCTTATTTCACAATGAGCTCCCTCACGTCTGCTATTACATTGCACCCAGTCTGTTATATAGTGTGAACAGCTGCACCTCAGCTTAAGTGAAAAGGGGGCTCTTCAACAGAATTAAAATATAGCTAAAGGCCTTGTTTTTGTAATAGGAGAGCTTAAAATTCTGGCTGGGTATTTTTCTTAAAATCAAAGTCAACTTAAACAAATAGCAGGTTTTTGGAATCTGCAAACAGGTAAAATCTAAATCTGGTTTTGAAACATTGAACTGCAGTCAACTGTTGTCACAAAAGATAATACACAAGACAAGCTATAAATGCTAATATAGTAATAGATACAGTAACTGCTTTCATTCAGAAAGTTGCAATTGAGTCTTCTATAATTTGTCAAAACAAATGTACAATTTAAAAAAGTTCAAGCAAATGTGTCATTCTTTATATAATCTTAATATGCATTTCCTACATGAAGATCAAGTAATGCTAATGTGCTTTACACATACTGCACTGTAGTAGGGGACCTACCTTGTTCTCCTCTAAACTGCAGCACTAACCTGGGTGACACGCACCAGCCCCGCAGCACAGCAGGACAGGAAAAGAAGTGAGAAATTGCTTCACCACTAGAATTTGAGTGGAATTCAGACAGGGCACTGGGGTAAACAATCTTACTCTTGTACAAAAAGCCGTGGGATCTTTTATAGTTAGGCAGTCAGTAACTTAGTTTAGCATTTCAGCATTAGAACAGCACCAACTACAACACAGTGTCCACAGTCAGCACACTGGGGCTTTGGTTTAAAACGTCTGGTCCAGGGTGAAGAGCTCCACCTACTGGTCTGACAGCACTACCGACAGCAGCAACCTGTTTTTTACTTCGAAGTCTCCTATTCCAGCACTGTCCAGGCCCAGCCTTGCTTACCTTGTGCTTAGCTTGACATCAGGCCGCAATGTCCCTGTATTATAAACACAGCATAAATGTGCCCATTACTGCCCGTCTCCTTTTTGATGGGTTCCGTGCTACACATCTGATATCATCGCATTCTGCAGGATTGCTGGATATTCCCACATTGCTTCCCAACCTCTGACGCTCAAAACAAATCCAGAAATGTGGATGGCCAGGAATGTTCTTCGGCCAAATGACAGAAAGACTGAACTCAAAACATAGCTGAACTTACCACTGGGTAAAACCACTGACCTACAGGAGCTGTCCTTCATCACTCCTCAGTTTAGAAAAGGTCAGCTGCTGCCAGACTCTAAGGACAAGCTGCCTTACCTTTGACACGAACATCTCTTGTGTCCTCAAATCACTGATGGCCTCCCTTGCAGATAAAGAAAGATTTCTGTCGTGCTTTTATGTCCTCTTTTCCGCACCACTGTAATGCTCTAAGTGTTGGACTTTCATTCTACTCCCATTTTCTTTCTGCGGCCTCTGTTGGTACATCTGGCATGAACACTAGGCTTTTCATCTGGCTCATCTTCACCAGCTACCGATCAGACCTCAAATTAAACAGGATCGTCCTCAAACCTTTTAAGCCCTCCACCAAATATTAAGAATACTATACAGTGTTATATAAAACAATATCGGTCTGATTTTCGTTTCTCATTGAGAGACCTGAAGCCTCCCTCTAATTATCTGGCCCACATGTATTCTTATTCCAGAAAAGGCAGATGCGGTATTCCTCAAACGAGATCCTTCAATGGCCTACATTCAAGTCCTGCGCCTCAAAGAGAAACTACTGTACTGACTGTCGGTTGCTCACTGACCCTCTCACACTGCTTAAAAAAAAGATACTGTTTCCCTGAGCTTTTCAAATGCTATCCATAATCATCATTTTGACCCTCATAGAGTAGAGCTGATCTGTTCACTTTGGAAATAAATGTTTATCTTCAAGTGAGCTTTAAATCTACTTTTAAATCCACAGTCTTTATAATTCATCTCACATTGTTTACCACTATGTTTGATCTCTTGTACCTTAAAATTAGTTTCACGTTTCAAAGTTTCATTTCAAAATACTGTTTAAAATTTAAATTTTATTTCACTAGAACTTAAAATTAAAACATAGAACTGCCAATTAAGGGAGCCACTGTTGCATTTCCTACATAATTGTGAACCAGAGCCCTATTGCCGAGAATTGCTTGGTCTGAAACTGAAATATTTAATGTCATGGAAATATTTAAAAAAAAAAAAAACAAGAAATCAAAGAAAAAAAGAAAAGAAAAAAATAACCACTAAAGGAGTTTAAAATAATCAAACAAAATCTTTATTTTTAATCACAGTAAATAAAACATCACAAAACCTTCTGTTCAAAAATTAATATATTCCAGGTACAGTACAATGGAGTTTTCCGTTAGCTCACAAAATTATTCTGATTGTTCGGTTCATTTATCATTTGAGAATTGTAGCACCCATCCTAATTATCAGCTAATCCTAGAGCTAGGAATCTGTCTCTGGAGATACAGAAGACAAATACATATATATGCTGTATATCCAAAAGCTTAGTTTTACCAATACTTACTTCCCCACATATTAAGCATCTCATGATATTTCAGTTTAAATATAATCTTATCCTGATTAACTTGCGTCTGTATTATTCACACCATCTTTGATACAAAATCAGCTAAAAATGAAAGTAACAAAAAAACATATGCTTCTGCTTGACATGTTAAGTCATATGATGTCATCATAAGAACGTACTGTATGGTGAACAAGGCTGCAGAAATATTAAGGCCACCAATGGTCCCAAACCCAAACCTTTCTGACAGACAAAAATCACGAAACAATCCAGGCACATTAATGAAACATAGATCTGAAACAGAAAAGAAAACAAACTTAAAACACACAAAACAATTGTGATAAATACAAAAAAAAGGTAAATACAGAACATAAAATATAGAAAATATAAAACAAAAGCTTAATACCATCAGTTGAAAACATATACTGTAGGTCTACTCAGCACATGGTCCTTCTTCACCTGAAGTCTAGCCCAGCTACTTTGGCATCTGTGTTGTAGAAGATCTACAGTATAATGAGTGAGGGGTCTCACTCTTACTCACCATGGAAACGGCCATGGCCGGTTGTAGGAAACTGGAGTCGCTGGGAAAACGTGTGAACATGGGAAGAACATGCAACCTCCACCCAGAATGACCACAGCCCAGAATCAAACCCAGGGCTCTGAGGTAGCAGTGCTATCCTCTACACTACACTATATATTTAGATATATGTTAATGTAAATATGTACTGTAGAAGTATTCTTACATATATTTACCAGATATACAATACTTCTGTACATTTACACAAACTAGACATTAAGCAGACAGAAGCAAAGGAAAACAGACTAAAACACTGTGTAACACAAGCTGTCTGGTAGTACTATATGTACTGCAGTAGTGCTTTTATGCACTGGGTGGATGAGAAGTGCAATTCTGGCACAGTGAGCAGGTCTTACAGACTAACTGTGTTAAGGGGGAAATTTCTGCAAAGATTTGTCATTGACAAGCCCACACATGCATGCCACAGAAGGCTTCATCTCTGGTCAAAGGCCAAGAAGGGCACTGTTAGAATCCCTGACTCTCTTTGGTATGATGTGTGCTGCTGACTGGCCAAAGATGGTGATCAGAAAAAGCAGTATAAATTCTGCCTAATGTCAATAGGGGTCTCAAGTGTGGCTCAGACAAGTCTTTGCCAATACTCACCTGTCCTAAGACACAATAATTGCTCTGGATGAAAGACATTACAGCTCTGCCATGTCACTGGACACACAAAACCGGTCCTTGCGAAAGAGTCCCAATAATCCCAGAACTGGATCCCAGTGAGATCTGTGCTAGACCAGCTAGGCCCACAGACCAGTGGATTGCTGATCTCATCTACAAAATACTGAACTAACATCTTGATGCACTAAAAAAGTCAAAAGGTGGCATCACATAGTAACAACCCTATTCATTATTATGTTGTAATGACTGTACAGGCAGATAATAAAACACTATTCTGCCGAGAGTCTCCATACTTCCGTCAAATTTGTTACTACATGTATGTTAATTATATCCATCATACTGATACCATACATAATTAGTAAGTCAATAAATACGCATACTGCAAGAAAGAAATAAACGACCTACTGTTTTGCTCCGTCATTTCATTTTAATGCTTCTATTATGTACGAGACGCTTTCCTTCAAAACATTAATATCTACATACAATACGAAAATGAATCGTATTAGGTCAAAAATAAAACAACCTAGCTGAGCTCACCACCAGTGATGTGCAGCGTTTTCCCTGCCGTACTGCATGAAAAGGAAATAAAAACATTCAGAAAGGGGAAAAAAAAACAACAGAAAAAAGCAACAGAAAATGAAATGACACGGCATTCAGAACAACGCAGGCTCACGCGTATTTAAAATGCATGTCGTACCTTCTTGTCTGTATTCGCCCCTCTAGATGGTTTTTCAGAAAACTGCTGTATCACCGCAGCCTGCAACTGCCGGCCTGACTCCCTGCAAGTGACAGCAATTCTGAACGTGTCGTAGCTGCAAAAAAAAAAACCCTGTTGTTTAAAATCCCACTCGAAAAGAAGAAACTAGAACGCACTAAAAAAATGCACCTACGCGGCTCCGATCTCCCCTCCTAAGTGTATCACTACACTATCTGATGTACTTCCTTTCCTTCTCTCAACCGGTGGGATACGCAGGAAATCCCACCTTCTGTCCCGACAATGAATGATGTCAATCCCTGGAATAATTCTGCAGCAGATGCGGCTTGTTATTTGAATTGCATCGTTAAAATGGCGTTCAGACGAAGAAAGCCGAGACGAATACATGAGAACACCGGTTTGTATTCAGACTTGAATCTAAAAATATTAACCACGGTACACTGCATATTTTATTCTGCATATTTTATGCCTGCATCAGATTTGTCCTAATGTAATGTAGTACAAAATACAAGCTTCCATTCAACATTTTTCGATAGCATGATTACAGACGCACTGTACCATCAATAGTGGATACACTGAATGTATCAGATTAATGTCTTACTGATTTGAAATTATAGATAATACTCACTGATTAGAATTTGTGTAGAAATCCCCAAGAATGTCTCCTTAAATGCCTTATATAATTTAAAGATTAAAATTAGCATTTGAGGGCAACAGGATAACTGATTCTAGTACAGTATTTAAAATGGTCAAAGGAACAGACAGAGACCTGAGCAGAATCATTTGTTCAAAGCCCAACCAAGGGAAAGTGCATTTTATGCTGAGCAAGAGGCCTTTTTCTAACACAAATGGCGGTGGGAGTCGGGAGCAAGTTTCTCACCCACGATGCCGAAGAAATGGCTGGATGAGATTCCTCAGATCAATAGGTCACAAAAAAACACATACTGTAGGCTAGATGGGCTCACTCTGCGGTCTGTGTGGATCCTAATGCCCCAGTATAGTGACGGGCATACTATACTGTAAAAGGGTGCCATCCTTTGGATGAGACATAAAACTGAGGGCCTAACTCGTTAAAAAACAAAAAAAAGTAGGGATGTTAATCCTGTGTCCTGACCAAATGTCTCATTGGCCTTTACCAATTGTGGCCTCCTAGTAACCCCCATCTCTGAACTGGCTTCATCACTCTGTTCTCCTCCCCACTGAGAGCTGGTGTGTGGTGATCGTACTGGTGCACTATGACTGCCGTCGCATCAGCCAGGTGGGGCTGCACACTGGTGGTGGTGGAGGGGAGCCCCTGTTACCTGTATAGGGCTTTGAGTGGAGTGTCTGGAAAAGTGCTACAGTATTTAAGTGTAAGGAATATTATTATTATGAACCCTAGAACGAGCACACACCTATTCGAGGGGGGTAGGGAGGTGGGAATGTGAGCAGTGGAGCAAAACACATTGGGCTGATTGACATCCGGTGACTGGGGCTACTGTGTCAGATAGGAGGGGATAAACACAGTCACTCCTCCTGTCTCTGAGGAGTCGAAGGGACATGCAGGTGCTGGAAGCATGTTTGTCTCATGAGCTCGCTGTCCTTTCTGGTACAAAAATGCATGTACAGTCTGTACAGTAGCTGCCCGGTTTGTCTCACTGGGAGATGACAGCCACATTGACACACTCTGCTGTTAAAGCTTAGATTATTCCTCTGGGAATAACAGCACCCAAGAATTAAAGGGTATTGAAAGGCCAGGGCACGAGGAGGCTGGGACCCCTCTACAGAGTGCCCAGGTGCAGATGGGGTGGAGGAGGGATGACAGAAGACAAATGCAAAGGAGAGAAGGGGCTTAGGATTAGTATTGATAGTATTTTTTAACTCAAAGAAACGTCAGGAATGATCAAGACTCAGGACACAGGTGGCTCTGTGGCTCAGGATCGGTGCCTGTGGCTGGAAGGTTGCTGGTTTGTATCCCGCAGCCAGCAGAGGAATCCTACTCCGTTGGGCCCCTGAGCAAGGCCCTTAACCCCAACTGCTCCAGGGGCGCCGTACAATGGCTGACCCTGCGCTCTGACCCCAAGCTTCTCTCCCTGCCTGTGTGTCTGATGGAGAGCAAGCTGGGGTATGAGAAAAAGACAAAATTCCTAATACAAGAAACTGTATATGGCCAATAAAGTGATCTGATCTTATCTGAGACCGATTAGCTTGCTGCTGTTACCCCTCCCATATTTGTGTTGTAAACTCCATTTAATCTTTGCTTTCTGTCCCAACAATCTAATTTTCAAAGACCCTGCTTATTGATGTTCTACATACCGTTGTTATCTGGGGCTGTGTGGGAGCCAGAGCCTAACCTGGCAAGCCCAAGGCAGGATACACCCTGGACGGGACACCAGTCCATCACAGGCCAGACACAGACACACACACACACTCACACCAGGACCAATTTCCCCAGAAGCCAATTAACCTACCAGTATACTAAAATTGGAACGATACAGAGATTGACAAGAGGTGAAAATAAAATTAAGGACACTAACTAAACACAGCAGGTACAAGAGAGAAAACTACAGCATCACCACATCAAAAAAAGAAGTTTACAGGCAGCCCAAATGTGGCTGAGTGCCAGGATCTTTTGGGGATGGTGCTGCAGGACAATTGCGCGCACTAACGAAAGTCATTCATTTCGAGGCAGTTACTGCCATTGTTCAACGAAACTCGGGACGTGAAAGTAAACAGCTCAATTTTTCTGCGGTACCCATCCCCGGGCCTCTCGGCTATTTTCAAGAGGGGTGTCCCGGCACTTGTTTGTGCCACGGCCAGCCCTCCCTATCCCTGTCATGATTGGTTTCAGGTACTGTCAGTCTCCTTGTGGTCAACCTCAGCCTGCTGTTTGTTGCTGTGAGGAAGCGTAGAGTTAACGGAAGGCTCTTGACGGGAGAATGCAGCTGAGAGACGGTTTCAGGAGCCTGTCGTGAGTTTCAAGAAGTCCAATCGCAAGACTGAAGAAAACCAACATGTTTCTTTAGTCCAGATTCTCGCATCGCTTTTCTGTGGAAGGAACTGCTTGGCGACCCAGGGCTAAAAAAAAACAAACAAACCCCAACACAAAACGGATTTACAGCAGAAGAAAGGTGCATCGCGTCCCAAAGACGACTCAGGGTCATTGGATTCGAGGCAGAAGTCAGCATGAAGTTTGCACAATTTTTAATCAAGAACGCCGCAATGGCAAATGTGCCAAAGCAAATCGAGAGATTCTGCAAGTACTCCCCTTCGCCGTTGTCAATGAAGCAATTCTTAGATTTCGGTGAGGGTTTGTTCTCTTAGGTATTATGAAGTCTTGTCGACTGCTGAGCTACCGTGCAGTTATTACTGTAATTGTAATTTACCATCTGTGGATGCACAATTCTTTCGAGTCGGAAATGTCTTTTTTTAGGCTGTTGCGCGAAGCAAGGAGAGGTCTGCTCAGTACAGACCAATTTTAACGCGACGCACAGGGGCAAATGCGTGCTTTCTCTTTTTATTTCCGAATATTTTCATGAGATGTGTGTTGGAAGGATTCCTTACGAATGTCTAGGAAAATACGGAAACACTCTCGGGACACACGAGTCTCGGGTGTGCATGCTGTGTGCAGCCCGTGACAGCTGGAGCTGTTTTTCTCGTTCAAAAAAGCAACGTGTCTCCAGTTGTCCGGTCTCGGACGGAAAGGCGCTGATGATGTCTTACAATTTCCTCCCACCGTTATGCCAGTAAACACATGTTTTTATTGTTGTGGTTGTTGTTGTAAAAGAGGTCGTGGTAATGCGTGGTACTGTAGTTTACAGCGGGGTTTGTTTTCTTTATTTTTTTTTGCTTTGCGGTTCCCTTCGTCGTCTGATATTAAGCGCGCTGCCCAGCTGTTGTTTTGGTGATTCACGACGTTTTCAGCGTCTACTTTGATGCCACCCACTGTCCTGGTTAGGTTAGCGTCGGCATTCAAGCTCAAGAGCCCTTCCTGCCCGTCATTACTTTCTACTTCACGAATTACTTTTTAAACCCCCCGATACCTGCGCCAGTGACGTCATCCCTAGCGGTTACAGTGCGCGTTCTAAGAAGCCCCATCAGTTTCTAATGAGCTCCACACATGGAGCAAAGCTACAAAAACAAGGCTCCCTTTTCTCAAGATCACTGAAGGACGTTCATAGAAATCGTCGAATCTTAATGGAACTATTAAGAATAGACACCTTTGCGCTCATCGGTTTTTAATCTCGACAGTTAATCACCCGCCGTACCACTGTACATTGTTGTTCCCCCTGTCGTTTCTCTAGGTTCTTCCAATGCCTGCGAGAAGACCTCTTTCGTGTTCCTGAGGCAGGAACTCCCTGTCAGATTGGCTAACATCATGAAAGAAATTGATTTCCTTCCTGACAAACTTCTGAGTACCCCATCCCTGCAGTTGCTGACCAGTTGGTAAGGAGGGATTTCGTTTTTTTTAATGCATTTTGCTTGCAGCAACACTGTAGCTACTGGATTTCTCCAAACCTAATATTCGAAAACGGATTACAGCTAATTCGTTAGCGAATGCATTTCATTTAATAGCTTTCTGCTTCTTGTTAGGAACTGTTGCTTATTATTTCTGTTTTGCATTGTGGATGACTCTGCTGCTGCACAGTCATTTTAACAGAAAATGGTTCATAAGAAGGTCACTAGTGAAAGCCAGATGTCGCACTGTCATCTTTTACTAAAATGTCGTCTCTGGATCCATGCTTCTTTCTAGCTATGCACTGTGCTGAGTATAAGGTTTGAAATCAGTTACTCGGGGGAGCCCAGAGTTTCACTGCTATGGCAGAGCTAGAGTTTTGACAGCCGTAGCAACTGTATGGCTCGCAAAATGAAAGGCCCTTTTCCAAGCTTATGTTGCATCTACTGTCCATTTTAAATCCCAAAGTAATACCCTAAAAATGTAAAACAGACTTCCCTTTTCTGGCAAATGGGCAAGATGGACCCATGTTCTTGTTTGAGGCATTTCTTACAGTACATTCTGTACCTCACTATGACACATTCATTTTGCCATGATGAGTTACAGCAAGCCGTGAATGCAGGTGTGATTGTTGTATTACTCGTTTCTGCAAGGTGAGTTCATGAATAAAGGCATGGCAGTTTCATTACGTCCCCTGTCATTCAGCTGTCATTTACGAGCACTGCGGTGTAAAAAGACACCCAGAGAACATTGTCTGACTTTTGGTATACATGTGTAGGTTTGCTGAGGTATGACATGCATACCATAGGCACCATGAAAGTTTTACAAACGTATTTGTGCATGATCACCTGAATTGGAAGTCAGCCTGCCTTCCACAGTGGTATGCATGTATTCTGATGAAAGCCGTGTCTCCAACTTCTCTTATCTGTATCTAGAGCACTACGATCAGCTAGGACTGTAAAAAGAACCTCCTTCAACCTTCACAGAGTAGGTGTCACGTAGCCAGGCTCCATGTATGCAATAAAAGTGCTCCGTTCTACCTAACTGATCATCATTCATTGCTGCAAACCAGCCTCTGAGTGGCTTGTATGTGTCTGGCTGTAGATGTCCTGGTTTCTTACCTGACATCTCTAACTCAGCTAGTTCTGTAACATGTGCCTGACATAACGTAGAAGGTGTCTGTGCTTCTGGACTTTCACAGTGCTGTTGCAGCGCGAGCTTCATAATACCCAGGGATAACCGTAACTGGGAGGACAGTCTGATCTGCATCAGAATGAGAAATCGTTTTTTTATTTTGTCTTCCCCCATAAGCTATGGGTGGGTGTGATGTACTTAAATCCTCATTTAAAAATAATAAGGTTGAAGAAAAGTTGAAGATTTTAGAAAGAGTCAAAAGTGGAGAAGAAAATTCAGTGGATTGCAAGAGTGGAATTCCTGAAGAAAAGATAGCACGGTTATATGAAAAAGATCCAGATCCATTTTTGTGAAAACAGGAATGCATATGAGTAGAATCAGTACGATGTAAGGGAAATTGTGTACCTTAAATAGTGTCTTTTAGTTATAGTGTATAAAACATAAAAAAGAAGGTATGCGTAAGGTGGATATTAGTTTCACTTATAGTATAATGCAGATGTTAAAGTTGCTCCTCGATGTTCTTGTTATATCAGGGATGCATTATACCTTTCCCTTTAAGTATCCTGCTATACACAGTGCAGTACTTGAGGGTTAATGCATTGAATTACAGTATGCCAGAACTGCTGGACTCCAATATCTTGTTTCTAAGAGTTCCTATCTTAGTATAGATTTGCTATTGTACTGTACATGATTTATAACTTGTTTGTAATTCCTATCTGTCCAAGGAAAGAAACCTCCTTATCAGCTTTTGTTTTGTAATCATTAAAGGAACTTGTGGTGGCAGAGTTCAGGCAGAAGGCCCACACAAATAATTGTGCCTTTTAAGTCACAAAAACTCATTGCAACCCTTTACCTCCTCTTCCAGATTAGACGAGTTGGCATAATGTCAGAATCCTCTTATTTCAGCTTTCGTAAGCATTTTAATTTTTAAGCATTTGGCTTGAAAGTCTTCTCTGTTAGCAATTTAAAGGTGAAAGTTCATGAACTGTCAGAGTAGGCACATAGACTAAAGCTGATGACAAGAGCAAATGCAGTAGAGATTAAATGAGCTTCCACTTCATACACATTAAAAGTGCCTTAGTGTACCATTTTGTCATCTACTGTATTATGGTACAACCATTTTCCTACAAAAGCAAAATAAGAGTTTGGTTAATTTCAGGAGCGATTATCTAGGATAGACACCCCTGAATAAAATTATGCATATTAATGTAGTACAATGTACAATATATTGCTTCATGGTTCAATGTTTTTTGTATTAGAAGGCTGTTAATTGCCAGTGATTCTTTTTTTTAATCTATTGTTTATGAAACAGGTATGCACAGAGTTTCATGGAAATTCTACAGTTCCAAGAAAAGGACCCCGAAGATAGAAAAGTTTTGTCAGAGTAAGTTGTTCATAGCAGAATTTTCTTTTGCCCAGCACAAACATGCACATTCCATCAGTAGTGTTCTGGTTAGACACTCACTCCTCAACAATATCAGAATTACTGTCTATTGCTGTTGTTTTTCCATGCTTCATAATAAAAAGACCAATTAATTGCAAAATAAGATGTTAAGATCTCAGTGATTTTATGTGCAGTTTTGGAGAAGCAGCCCTGAGCTAGACTGGACAGGTTGTCATTTTTTGGCTTTTTTCTTGTCGTTTGTGTTGTCTTGTCAGCTGAGACACCCTCTTACAGAAATGTTTCCGAGTGAGTGTGTTTTGAAGGAATTTGCATGAGATTTGAAAAGCCTTTTTTCCCATTTTTAACAAAATGTTACGAAGTGTCATGTTGAATGGAGCTACAGTAGCTGTGAACTTCAGCTCTCAGTTAACACTTCGTGTTTGAATGACAGCTTCCACTCAATTTCAGCAAAATTAGTGTTGTCCTAAAAAACTGCAGAGATGGAAAAGTGTAAATTAAGAACAAGAAGCTGCTCTTGGCAAACATTAGAGTGCACCTCTCTGTGACAACCTGTCTGTTTGGATCCCTGTCAGATTGCCAGGCTTCACACCTGCGTTTCTGGAAGCTGTGTCCTGCATGAACTGTTGGGATTTTACATGTTGTTGTCTGTTCAGCTTTTCAGAAGTGCTAATCAACATCAGAAACAGGCACAACAATGTGGTTCCTACCATGGCTCAGGGGGTTATTGAGTACAAGGAGGCCTTTGGTGTCGACCCAGTGACCAATCAGAACGTCCAGTACTTCCTTGACCGTTTCTACATGAGCCGCATCTCAACCCGGATGCTGATGAACCAACATAGTAAGCACACTGAAACCGTTACCCTGTTCGGAGTGATGAGCTGTGTTTCTTCCTGCAGTCAGGAAAGGCCGAAAAAGACTGTAATCCCGCAGTTCACAGTGAAATGTAAAGAACATGACAGGTTCAGGAAAATGTGGGCTGGACTTTGTTGGGGATTCCAGTATTCAAAAAGCTCAGGAGATGCCTAGTTGAGCCATTTGCTTGCTAGTGCTTCCTTCTGCTGAACTCCATTTGTTGAGTATTTTCTTGTTTCCTTTTCAAACTTCTTCTTCAAATCCAAACGCATGCATAGCCCTCCAAACGTATCGTGACAGAGATGTCAGAACTTTGTCAAGCAATTTGTGCTTCTGATTGAGATTGATCTGAATAAGTTCAGTCTAATACCTGTTGTATTGTTGCGGAATTCTGTGCATACTTTTGATTTACATTAGAAAAAAATGATGTTCACTACGATAGATTGAATAAAAGTAGAAAGATTCAGTCCTGGTTCTGCAAGCCAGTCTGTCTGCAGTTTCCCTGGTTTCCTTAAAGCAGCAGTACCTGAAAAACCTGGAGAAGCTGTCAGATTGACCCAGTTAAGCCAGCAACAAGCTCTTTAAGAGCAGAATTGGAGAAAAAAGAAACACCGACCCTCCAGGACCAAGCTCTGACACCCTTGCTGCAATAACTGCATGAAATCTGCGAGCCATTGATCTCGGCAAACTTTGTTTAATCGTCTGAAATGCTTCTGCTGCAGTCCCTTTGAGTTGTTGCCGCTTCTTGGGGTGCTCAGTTGGATTGGAGATTGGCTTAGCTGGTGTGGAGACTTTTTTTCTCCTGATGAAGTCTGAGTCATCGTCAGTGTTGTGGGTCAGTGCGGTGCTGCATGGCGAAGAGCCCCCCGATGCGTATGGAAGCATTTTCTTCTGCATAAGCAGGTAAAATGCTTCTGTAAACTTAACAATTCAGGCTGCTGCAGCCATCATTGGTTACATCTTCAGTAGAGATAGCTGAGCCAGTTCCAGAGGTCGGTGTGCATGCCCAGGCCATGCCATTGCCTTTATGTCAAATAATTGGCAGCAGTGTTGCTGACCTGTAGCCTGATCCTGTCTCGGACACTAAGCAAGACTGGGCTTGCTCACTACCGTAATGGGAGATCACTAAGGAAACCAATTTGCTGCTGCTAGTGGGGTTGATGGACCAGTAGGTGGTGCTCTTCACACTGGCTAAGAATTTCAAAGCCCAGTGCAGTATTATGTGGATGTAGGACACAGAGCTGTAAGAATTGTGTGGTGCTGAGAGTATGAGTGGGGGTGGTAGCCTCAGTGCACTGGCTCAGTTCTACTCTGGGCTTCTACGGCACAGACTTCTGAAACTTTTACTCAGCTGGTAAAGCAGTTGCTCACTTCTCTACTTGAAAATGATCAGTGCTGCTGTAAGTAGTGAATAAAGCGAATCCCGTTGTGTGAAAGTTTTGAGATTCTTTTAAATGAAAAATGCTGTAAAAACACACTGAATCATTATTAAATAACATGGCTAGTGTTTGCTTGCAAGGAGCCAACTGTGTTAGCTTCCAATAATTCCAGGATTGATCCTGATACATGCTTTGATATTTTTTTTTCAAACTTTTATAGTGATCCGTTAAGAAAATCCTTGACAGGATTGAAAATATGTTTTTTTTCACCATATTTCTGCCACTGTTTGTGTGGCCACCTCTTTACAGGGTCCCAGATCGCTGTGGTGTCACATATGGCAGAGGACTGTGTGGTTTTGGAAACCGTGCACCTGGATAGCTGACAGTCAAAAAATGCAGAACAAAAGAATCAAATAGTGCCACAGATAATAAAGAAGGAAGAAGATGATACTCGCTCTGGAGAGTGAGCAATACCTTTCAGACAGAGGCGATTTCCTCAGCTCACGCAAACTCTCCAACCCCAGCCCTGGGAGAGGTAACACAGGAGCATCGCAGTGTCCGAGATAAGAACGCCCGTGATGGCGCCCCCTTGTGACTGTGCTGTACAGAATGTGGCTGTCGGACACAAGAGAACCCTCCTGGGGTCAAGGGTGGGGAACAGCCTCAGGTCTCAAAGGTACTCCAGCCCAGCCAGAGCTACAGAGAGAGGGGGCCCAGCTGGTACCAGTGTGCCCAACACTGGAGACAGGGGGCAGCCAGAGAGAGCAGGCTGGGAGATATGCCCGCTGCCTGGAAGTGAAGAGGCATGGTCCTGGGTGGCCCCTTCAGAGCCTTCTGCTTCCGCTTCTTCTCCCCGATGCGGAGGATAGCCTCGGTCTGCGTCGGCTTCCCTTGCTTGGAGGTGCGGTGGGATCCGACCGGCCCAGCAACAGCAGCTCCGCAGCGGACTGAACAGGAATAACGGAGCCAGCTGGGGCGACGGACAGTCCAGTGGTTCCTTGTGGAGCGTCTCACTCCGGGAGCAGAGGCGGTGCCGGGGAGCGAGAGCTGGGAGAGGACTGCTGGGCGATGCTAAAAGAACTGGCTGCAGGGATCTCGGGATTTTGTTGCGTTAGTTTTGCATCGTGTCTTTGATCAAAGAGGGGGGGGGCGGTGAAGTGTAGCGAGGGCTCAGATTTGAGCAAGGCTTTTGTGTATTGTGTTTTCTGCAAATAAATAAAACTGTTCGGAAAACGTAATGGATTGTTTGCACTGCCAATTTGCATGTCGGCTTTTAAAGATCCTCCTCCTGACTCATTCAAGAGCCCACGGCACACTGGTCTTCGCCATCCTTCCTCATCAAAACGGTCTTGTGCCCTAAATAAACTGTTAGTATTTTTTTACGCAAGACCACACAAAAGAAAATCTGGGCATGTATGATAATAAATGTTTGACTTTAAACAATGTAAAGTCTTGTTGCATTACAGGGCAGAGAAGAACACCAGTTTTCCATTGATGGTCATTCTGTTGATGCTGTGCTTTTCATTTAGAAAACATTAAACAATATCAGGAAGTAGGTAATTTAATCATGAATTCCAATATGAAATTTGTATTGATTTTCTCAAGTGTTTCAGGGTTTGAAATAATAGGTAACAATGCAATTACTACATTCTGATTTTTTAGCAGCAGGTACAACTGACTCTTAAAACCTGTTTCTTTTATTGTTTTACAGCACTTATCTTTCATGGAAGCACCAATCCTGCCCATCCTAAACACATAGGAAGCATTGATCCCAACTGTGATGTGGTGGAAGTAGTAAAAGGTAATGATAAGGAAGAGTATTGAAAGACCACTGCACAATGATTCATTCTTTCAGCCACCATCCTCGTCCTTAAACATGGCATCTTTTATAGACACTATTCTTAGAAAGAATCCAGCTGTTTTCTCATGCATTTTTAAAGCTTTCCTTTGGTGTGGTGTAGGGCTTCTCCTATCCACACTCACTCGTAGTGCGTGCTGGTGCTTAGTGACCCGAGCCTGAACTGTGACAGTAGCTGACTGTGCATGAGATTCCCCGAGTACCCACACACACGTCTCTGAGCTTTGCCAGGGTTGGGTGAACTTACTCGGCATGTGGTGCAACAGTCCTTCCCCATGGGACCGAGGGGCCTGCTCCTCCAGTCAGGTCTGACTCATCGCTGTCAGACCCTGCCGCCCCCTCAGCATGTCACTTTGTGTGAGCCCTTTACCCTGGCCGGCACCAGGGGAGCTGGCACTGCAGGCTGGAGCTCATTAACCACAGGCACTTCCAGATTGGGAGAGTGCAACAAAGAAATTGTTGATCCTAATAAATCAAATTCATATACTGTACCTCCCAGTGAATGAGCCGAAATACTTTAATATCCAGATATTTTAGTTGCCTTTTGCTGCTGCTGTGGATCTTTTATTTTAGCATTTTTCTGTACCACTCCAACCTAAACTCTCGCTTGCATTATGTAGTAAATCCGTTTACTACCAGTATTACAGTGCTCTGCGTGCTCAAGCTGCCGCGTTGCATCTGACCAGTTGTTTGTATTTCTCCAGATGCATATGAAAGCTCCAAGATGCTCTGTGATCAGTATTACTTAACATCTCCTGAAGTGGAGATCAAACAGGTGAATGGTAAGTAGGAATGTGGAATGTTACTGAGATTCATTAACTCCTTTCTCTTTTGAATACAGAGAAACAAAACAGATGTCCCTTTTATAAAAGTGAGTATTTTTATAGCTGCACAAAGTTCTGTTTTGGCGATTTGAGCTGTTCTCTAAATTGTTGGATGTTATATATATGTAAGCTGACTGTCAGAAGCTATTTGTACAGAATGGCAGCCTGATTCCAAATCCAGACAGGACAAACTCCACAAGTTTACTTTGCATGTTTGTTTATTTTCTTCTGCGTTTGCCTGTGTTACTTAAGCATGCTTTCTCTGTCTCTTTCGATTAAGGCCTGTGTATAGTTTCCATGCCACTTTGTGTTCTAGGGAGAACCCCTCATATCATGTTTATGTTGGCCGCTTGTCAAAGTGAAATAAACATTTGTTTTGGCAGCAGTTGTGGTGGGTTAATTTTTATGTAACTGCACCTTTTCATCTCTCTTAAGTTTAACCCAGAATTTAAATTTAAACAAATTGAAGAAATCAGAATAATGTACATACTATAGAAACAGAATTTTCAAGTGAAGTCACAGAAGGGACCATCCTTTTTTCAGTTCGTATGTTATGTTGAAAATCCTGTACTTTTCCTTGAAGAACAATACTTTTTTATTGGTGTTTTAGTTTTCTTTTTTTGGCAGGCAAGAGTTACCAGTAACAAATCTACCAGTCATCATGGCATCAAGTATTATTTGCAGTATTGCACTTTTGCAGTTTGACAGGGGGGTACAGTGTTAGGGCGAAAACAGGAAAGAAAAAGAAAAGAAATGGAAAATGCAAACATGAATTCAGTATTATCATTGGGTAGTAAAAACAATCCATATCTCTAAAAGAGCTCCTTTTGAGTCTTAATTGATATGTTAGTTTTTCCACCTCATAAATCTCTGAAATTATAGCAATACAGTTTTCCTTTGTTGGGGGATCTCTTTGGCCAGGTGTGTGTTGTAACTTTCTTGCTCTCTGCCAAAAATGCTTTAAGTGTCTATTTACCCTTTCCCTCATGCACATCAGGTAGATTACCCACATACAGAACTGAACAGGACTTTGGCGTTTCTAAACGTAACGAGTTTTGTATCAGAGACCACCGAAGAAGAATAGATATTCATAGAATTAAATGTCATACTAAACTTTTAATCTTTTTTACAAAGCTGTAGCAAGTACACCAGTACTTCAGATTGGCCTTACGAGATAATAGAAGAGAGAGTCTGACTCTTCTATTTAAGACATAGTTTTATTTTAAAATAGATTCATTTTCTCTCGTCAAAAAATAGGTTTTTGTCTGGAAAATGTAATCTTATCTTGACCTGACCTTGTTGTGGCCAATAAAAACTGCCAAATGGTAACGTCTTTGCTCTCTGAACTTCCATTATATTCTGTGACTTGTTTAACTTTTCTTTGTGGTGTTTTCTGTTTAGCTGAAAGTACAAACATCTTTAGATATTCAGAATGAATGGTGAACTGAGCTGAATGTTAAAAAAATCTGTCACTACATCTGATCTTGGAATGTGAAAAACCTTTGCTGGGATGCCTGATAGAGTCTTGTGAACATGTGAGACTGTTGGATACAGTCAAATTGGCTGTGAACTCCACACATATATATGAATGAGGATTATACACTGCTTAAATACTGTCTTTTAAGTCAGAAACAATTGATAATTAAACTGAAATAATCAATATTTTACTTGTTTTAAAGTTATTTAAAACCTTATGAACGTACATCTCATTAAGTGAGAATGTTTCTTTTATATTATCTCTTGTAAAAGCTGTGCATTTTTACCAGGTGAACATTATTGTGGTAGCAACCTTGGTGCTGTTAAAAATTCTAAAAAAATTACACTTGTGAGCCACACGATTTCCAAGCCCATTACAGTGAGGTTTAGGGGGATGTGTGACAAAGAACTAAGAAATTAAGTTAGTCCGATAAACCTCACCCAATATATTTTCTTGCATTGGTACATGCACTGGACATCTTAACTACAGTAAATGGCTTTAAAATTTAAGTAAAATTTTGCATATATATTTCACAATTTGAATGCTGAGTTTTAACTTTGGCTGGGGATGACATTCATCCGATATTCTACATGAAAAATGACTCCAAACTACCAATGAATTATAGATTTGAGTGGCCAGCTGCCCAGGAACCTAAAACACTACTTTCACAGCTGAGTCGTCAGTCTTGTAATTTGACAGTCTGTGTTTTTTCTGAAGATCTCTTCCACATCATGCAACACTTGCCACGTGCTCTGATCTCCTCTATGACTCCAGGCAAGAGATTGGCTGCCAATACAGCAATTAATAACAATAAATTCCTTTGGATACAACATACTGTAGTAAGATGCCGTAGGTGGAATAACCTTACTCTCCCTTGTTTTTTTAGCCAAAGCACCTGGTCAAGCTCTGCGTATGGTTTATGTTCCCTCCCATCTGTACCATATGTTATTTGAACTCTTCAAGGTACAGTATGTCTTCATGCACAGTATATCAAAAACATGAGGTGTCTGTGTTCAACAAAGACAACTGTATATGACCACTCAGAACTACACAGACCTATCGGTTCATATTCGTAAATTATTTTTTTTTTATTATTTTGTGTGCCCACTGAAATTGGGAGTTGCCACTTGAGTTTTCAAGTCTTGGCTCATGCTTACGAGCTTTATAGTCTCACATGAGGAGAATAAAAGATGAATGAATAAATAAATTCCTCTGACCCGCTCGCCTTCCACCCTCTCATCTTTGAACACAACACCGTCGACTCAGTCCTGTCTTTGAAGTTCAGCACTAATGCTGAATCCAGGAGAGGCACATCCAGGAGCCTGCAGGGGGGTGTTGTGCTGCTAAAAGTCAACAGAGCCCTGTCCCACCCCCCGCTTAGACTTGACCCAGCCTCGAACCCATGACATCTGCACTCAAGCAACCACCTTTACTAGTTGAGTCAACAATACTGTATCTTGTCTAGTACATTGACTTTTTTTGCGTATTCAAAGAATAGTTTTGGGTGCTTGTGTTACTTTAAAAGCTTTGCCAGTCTGATGGGCTGGACACATGACAAGTTCCGTGAAAACACTTCTTTTTGTTGCTTACAGGTTTTAATGGTTTTGTTTTGTAGTCTTCTATTTGTTTTAGTTTTTTAAAGTGTTGCAGAAGGGTCTTTTGTTTGGTCAGTGCTGTCACAGAACTCTGCTCACGGAGCCTTAGAAATCAGCATTTTTTATTGTACTTGTGATGTAGGGATCTGAATTATAATGCAGACTTGAGTGAAAATGATTTAAAATGAGGGACCTAAATTTAAAAGTTTACATGAATTCCTGTGGCAGACCATCTAAAAGAGCTCAGAAGACAAATTGTGCATGCTGGTGGTGGTTCTTTCTTGAAACCTGTACACGTCTCATTCCAAAAAATTGGTAGTTTGGCACTATGACAATTCAGTTGAGCACTGCTGATGGCAGGGAGAGTTGAGGCAAAATACTGACTTATATTTTCACAGAGGACACAGCATAATGAAACGAGGCTGATTCATATTCAACCTCGGACTAAACTGTCAGTTACCAATATTTCAGAACATATTATACATTGCTCTATCATATATCATATATTGGATGCTTATTAATGATAATTGATGCAAGAACTAAAAAGCATACTGTATTGCTTTGGTTGGCTTGGGAGCTGTAAATGATTTCAGATACATATTTATGGTCTTTTACAACACTGTGAAATTAAAAATTTAAATGTGGCAGAGAATGAAAAATGTATCCATTTAAAAACAATTATGACGTAGAAATTTACAGACACATTTGGGAAGGAGATATTGATTCGTAGATCACATCCTTGAAAAAACAGCTTGTTTGCATTTTGTTTCATCTTCATAAGACATCTTTTACTGAAGCTGCTGTACTGTATTTTTGCTGTTTAGCATGTTGAAGAATGAGGGAGTTTGGGGCTGGCAGTCACTGGTGTGCATTCCCAGTGTTCGACTGTGTGTGTTGTACAGTGGAAGTCACTAGGGCTGTTGTCAATCCTTGCAGAACGCCATGAGAGCGGCAGTGGAGATGCACGAGTCGAGCTCCGTCGTGCCTCCTGTGAAAGTGAGAGTTTCATTAGGGAACGAGGATCTGACCATACAGGTAAGAAAGGACTTTGTTTCAGTGGCACCATTTACTTCTTCTTTCAGAAGGAAATGTTTATTTTGAAGAGATTCGGATGGGTTATTCTGTAGAACATAAAAGCCAACCAATTCAAAATGCAGTGAAATAGTCTGTACTGTTGCCTCACATGTCTTTCAAGTTTAAACATCCCCATCATACCATTGTGGATGTCTAAATGGTCACATCTGTACTGTACATGATGTTTGTATGTGTGTTGCGTAATAGTTGATTTTTTGACCTGCCCACACTTGGTTTGAATCTCCTTTCTTTTCCTTTCGGCATTGAATAAACTTCTACCTGTCCACTGTTTATACTTGCTGAGTTGTAGCAAATCTGGCTTGTAGCAAATCTCTCAGATTTCATTAAATGCTCATTGCTCTTTTAAATGCAGATAACATTTCATCAATTTGCCTACGGGATTAATAAAGTATTATCTATCTATCTAACCTTTAAACTATTACAGAAGGGATCCCTGCATTTCATATGTAGGAAGAGCATTAGTTACCGATCCCAAAGACGACAACAGTTTTGTATTGAAAGTGTAGATAAGAAAGACATGAATGCTGAGGTTGTGAATGAAACTTGAGCTCTGCTCAATCTACAGTACCTTCTGTGCCAACATTGTGTCACTCTTTTTGCACTAATCCAGCCATTTGACTGCTCTACAATACAAAATGAAACCACTGGATTATCCTCAGCTCTTAGCTTTTCCAAGAAAAACTCAGTTGAAATATTTTCCTTATGCTTTTTTGGTTTTCTTAGCGTTGAGATATTTCTTTTGGGTTTTATCTGCAATGTGCATTTACTTGAGAAGTAGGTCCAGCTCAGTCTGAATTGCTTGCAAAGGAGCAGTGAATTGTTAGCTTGCATGCTCAGCAGACATGATGCCCAGATGGACTTTGTTGAGAAAGGACTTTGTCTTTAAGCAGCTCTCTCCTCATCGAACACTGTCCCATTTTTCCCATGTTTTATACCTGAATAGATATATAGCTATATAGCTTGCAAACACTCCAGACTAAAACTTTGCTCCTCTGTATTCAATTTTTATTTCACTATTATTATGTAACTTTATTCTGTAACTTTAAATTTTGTGATTTTTATTTTTATTTCCCCCTGGTGAGCTCGCAGAAAAGACATTTCATTGCCAGCAATTAGTGCTGCACGCTGTATTGTTGTGCATTTGATAAATATACTTTGATTGATTGATTGAAAATTCTGCAGAACAAAAACAACTAGGACTTTAGCTATAAAGTAATTTGTATAGTGTTAAAAGCTGTGTATTTTAAATAAATCATGCTGTTTTCACAATGAGACCCTGTTTTTCCTGTATTTTAGATGTCTGACAGAGGTGGGGGTGTTCCTCTGAGGAAGATTGACCGCCTATTCAGTTATATGTATTCTACAGCTCCAAGTCCTGTTATGGACAATTCTCGGAATGCTCCCTTGGTAAGGAAGCACAAGCATATCGGTCTACTACTCTTATTGGAGAAAAAATGGTTCAAGCAGTAGGATACATCAGTTCAAAATTGCTTCTGAACAGATTTAACTGTCTCTGAATTTTTTAGGGAAGTAAATGACTTAAACATACTGTTCTTCATCTGGTCCTCCATGATACATATAGAGCATCAAAAGAAAATAATCACTTAAAAACCGATGAACCCCTAAGTGTATCTGAAAAAATCCCAAGTTTTGTATAACAAGTATACTGACCTTTTATTAGAAAGCCAAAGATCAATTAATTCTGCAGATAAACACATCATCAACAGGTTTGATCAAGAGGAAGTCTGCTGTGAAGCAGAACAAGCTGTACGCCAGGGTGCAGAAGTGTATGTCCAGGTCTTCTCATACAGCCGGGATGAGAATGTGCTTGATCACTGATCTCTGAGCCCTAGACGCCACATATTGTCCCAGTTCATCCCAGAACTGGTTAAAGGCACTCAAGCCTGGCGGGTCTCACAAGAAAGCCGTTGTTACACCAGGAGTGTGAGGACATGCGTTGTCCTGGAGTGGTGTCATGTCAGGGTGAGCTTCCAGGAAGGGCAAAACACCAGCAACACCCGCATGGGCAGGCTGTTACTGATCATTACGGGCAGAGCCGTGCAGCAAATAGACTTGGTCCTCCTCATCCACTGTCCTATTGTTGTACACAGGAATTAGCATATCACTAGCACATTTGTACCACATTCACTGACATCCTTTAGGGTTGTCTGCACCTCAGTGTGTTACTACAGAGGCCTGCTGTGAGGTCCACCTGAGTTCAGTGTTCTCCTTGTGTGGTAAGATGTTCTTTTGTCTTGCTTTTCACCTGGCTTGATGTTCACAGTGTTATAGTACCTAATTAGCTGTATCCAATCAGCTCTCTTATCACTACTTATAGTTGGTGATTTTGTGGTTATGCAGTGGTCAGAATTACTCAGTTACATCAAAGTAGCTAATGAAAAGTCAGTCACATTAATGCCTAAAACATTTAATCAATATCCAAAATCTGTATAAAAGCTTCTTCATATAGAGTGAGTTTCTTTTGATGCTCAGTATGATTTTGTCTGGAAATACGATCTTGTGTTCTCTATTTAAATTTACAAATACTATAGTTTTTAACTGAGAATCTGCACAAGTGAGTAATGTTCTGAATCTGCCTGCCTTTACAAAGCATGAAGGTGAAACCGTGTGCACACGTGGGGCCAGCTCAAAGGAAGTCTGGAGCTCCTCAGCATCTGCTTCCCTCTGAATCGCTGCAGCACATGTAGGGGAATGAATGAACTTTTCTATTTCGTTGAAATTCATCCAACCCCACACACGAGAAAAAAAATATCTGAGTGCAACTCTTTTCAGTCTTTGGAACAAGGAACATTGTGAAGTAAATAAAATAGCTGATGCCTGATCAACGTAACTTTTTTGGTGCTTTTTGTTATGCTGGATGTACTTTCTTTTTTGATTGGATTGGCTGTTATCTCTGTGCAGTGAGACTTATCTGTTCCTGCTTGATTGCTGGCTTGTTTTTTTTCTAGGCTGGCTTTGGTTACGGCCTTCCCATTTCTCGTCTTTATGCCAAGTATTTCCAGGGAGACTTGCAACTCTATTCCATGGAAGGATACGGAACATCTGCTGTTATTTACTTAAAGGTAAGACGCTGTTAAGTTTTCTTTCTAGGGCAATGCAGTCAAGTGAACACAGCTGTGAGGTGAGAAGGCTGAGTTAAAGGTACTGAATGTGATCAAAGAGCAGCTGCAGAAGCCAGGTTGTAGCAATTAGACTTGTCTCTTTGCTTTTGGAATTGGATGAGGACAATGCACAGTCTGTTTTGTCTCTTGCTGGACTAGAGGAATGAGACCGGACTTTTTGAATGACAATGTTAGCAATGACAGCCAACCCCATTCTTAAATTCAGATTGGCTTTTATAATACACTCTTACAGTAGATCGCTACTTTTCAGATCAGTTATTTGGTCCTATGCTCTATTTAAGAAGATAGCAAAACAAACAAACTACAATTACAACTGAAGAAATGGAGAAAAATTCTAAACTAGTTGTATTAACTGGAAGAAAAAAAAAACATAAAAGAAAAAAAAAAGTCACTGAGTTGCTTTGATCATTTGCTTTTCCCGTATTTTAACTTTTTATAGCACTTTAAACCACAATTTCTGCAAAAAGGCTGCAATCAAAGGGCAGCACCAATGCTATTTTTACATTGCAGGGTTGTAATGAATCGGCAGTGATGAGTGCATTTCAAACCACAGTGAAATTACCAAGTAAAACCTACACTTTACATCACCAAAGAGACCAAGTTTCAATGTATGTGTAGTGCCATATTGCTGTCATCGTCCACAATTCAGAATGAGGCAACAAAACTCCCAGTGACACAAAAGCAGCCCTGTTACTTTGTTAGCATGCTTTAGACCAAGCACAGTTTGCTATTAAATTAATTTAAAATATTTTAATGAAACCTGACGCATACAAGGCGACGTTGTTTAGAAGAGCAACTATATATACTAGATGTCAAATGGTTGACAGTGAGGCATTGCTTAAAATACATATGTGAGTTCAAAAAGACTAAAAAAGATTAATGTTGTTAGGAGGCTATTCTTTTACGTCACAATTCGTGCGAAGACCAGTGATTTCTTGCCTGCCTTTGACAACATGGCAACCTGACATTACTTTCACAAAGTCCCTGATTTTTCACGTAATTCGTAATTTGTAACATTTTGTAATACCATCAAGTAGTTTATTTTGTTACCAAGCCTTAATACCCAGTCTGGGAAACTAGGACTGAAGTTCCCCTTTAAAAGCAGCCAACATGTCACGCCAGGAATCCAGGAGTCAGAATGCAAGTTAAAATGCAGATTATAAGGCCTGTAAAGGCCAGTAAGTGTCCTGTTGATATTGGTCACAGTAATTATGTTTGTTTAAAATGCTTTAAAACTGTTATCATGTGTAAAGTAGCAGTATTGTGAGTCTGTGAGAATTGTAACATAAAAGTGTGGGCTCCTAACAACGTTAATCTTTTTAAGTATTGGATTGGATTATTAACTATTACCCAGTGGTACTCACATATATAAATCCCAGGTAAAAAAGGCACTATTGGAGACACACCTCTGTTAGAACCATGTGATATTGGCCAGTGTTATAAGAGGAACATGTGTACATTTAAATAATCTGATATTAAGATTTATATGTGTGCCAATAGTTAGTAAATTAGCCATTGCTGATGTCCTATCAGGGCTTACGGGCAATTTAGCAAAAACAGAACATTTTCAGTGTTTCAAGTGCTAATAGAGGGCCTTAAGCTCCGCGTTTTGTGATTGTGAAGTAACAACTGCAATATGTGTTCCAAACGTCTGAAAAGAAAAGTAATCCTGAATCGGCAGAAGCCAGGTGGATGTGTTCTGTTTGGAGAAAACACCAGTTTCTTGTGTTGTGCTTTAGGCTTTGTCTTCAGACTCGGTGGAAAGGCTGCCTGTGTTTAACAAGTCTGCCTGGAGGCATTACCAGATGAGCTCAGAGGCTGATGACTGGTGCATCCCCAGCAGCGAGCCCAAGAAGCTCGGGAAGTATGATCTCAACGAGTGAGGTCAAAGTTGACACCACACACAGAGCTGACGTCTGGAGCGTTTGCAAGCTGCCCGTTCAGATATAAAACGGGAACACGTGAAAGCCATCAGACCTGTATGTGGAGAGGAGAGAATTGCTTACATTGGTTTCTTCCAGTGCTGCTGCCCTTTGTGATTTGATAATTCTAAACGGCAAACATTTTCCCAGAGTGAACATAATATCAGCTTGCGATTATAATAGCTGTGACTGCATGAATGTTTGTAAGAGTTCAATGGTTAAGTATCTTATCAAACATCATGTTTTATCTGCAGTATGTGTGTGTATTTCACTGTGTCAGGCATTATTGGAAAAGACTTACAACAGTGGCCAGTACAATTAAAATTTCCATGTGACTACAGTCCTCGTGGAGTATCAGGTTACAGGTTAATTTGGGGCCTAAATTCCTGTTGCAAAGTGTTTTTGGTTTTAATTTCTGTGTTCAGTTGAACTTACTGTACTTTAATTGGTCATTGGTGTCATTTCTCCTGGTAGGTGATGGATTAAAGACCTTTGACATCCCATGCCTTCAGCACTTAATTATGGGCTCCACTGAGTGAAATTGTTAAGGTGCTGAGTTTGTTCACTTTTTTGTGGAATCAAAAATCCTAGAAAATGTTCTTTGTAGTCTGTGAGCCATCACTTTGATTTATTTTTCAGGTTTTTTACACATAGTTTTTTTTTGTTCTCATTTCATTTACAGTTTAGCATGCATTGTGGTCCAGACTTCTTCATGTTCAGAATTCCTTCTGGCCAGATTTCTGAAACTGGTTCTTTTGCATTTCTGTCTCTCATAAAACTTAAAAATGTTTTGGTATTAGTCAGTCTAACAGTTGTCCATCTCTGTTTTTTATGTTTTCCTTTGTTCTATTTTGTTTCTACACAGTATTGATTCAGAGTAATTTAGTAGTATTTCACTATTACTGTAAGTACAGTATAATTATATCTAAGACTGACTCAAAGCCCAGAAATCCAGACTTCTGAAAAGTTGCACACCTTCACAGTTAATTTTAACTGCAAATAGAAATGTATTAGAGACAGGTTAAGTCCTGTTTTTATTTCTTGAATTTTATTCATTTTATTTTGCAGAGTAATCCATTGACTTTCAAGTGTAGCAAAAGAATGGTTTGTGAAAACTTATGTATTTGCTGCTAGCAATAAGTTCAGCATCAGGGACATTAGAAATGTGTGTGCTCTGCTGAGACAGAATATCTTCCCTCATACTATGGATCTAAAGCTACTTTATTTCTGTAACTGAACCTTCTAGACAGTATCTCATTTGTGTGTAACTGTGGTGCAGTGGAACAAGAGACTGAGTGCCTTTTTAATTGCATTTGTTAGAAGCTGTTACTAGCCATAATGCTAAGTTGATTTTCATAAACACCTTTTCTACCTCTAAAGAAATAGATGTACGATACTAATGGCAGACAGGTTAAATATATAGAAAATTCTTATTCTGCAAAGTATTGGCATAAAATACTTTACAATTTAAATGCATGAAACAGCATTCAGAGTTCTTTTCTGAATTTTGAATATCCTGAATATGTGAATTTAATGTAAATGCTGGGTACTTTAATAGAGCCAGGTGAAACAGTCAAAACATAAAAAGGTGAAGTTTGTCACAACGTCGTAGCACATATAGATTTTCCTATGAAGGGTTAATGCACATACAGTATACTGTATATATCAACAGAATTCAAATAAGATATGTTCATATTTCTGAAGCATTATTATTTGCTTTACTATATTTTTATTAAGGTTTTATTAACCTTGTTTTTCTGCTTTATTAATCTGTAGGACAGCATACAGTTATTCGGGTGATAGAAATGGACTGTGATTAAGAGTAGTCCAAAAGCCATTAATTTCATAAGCACAACAGGTATAAATATTTCATATCCAAAACCTTATTTCACATGAACAATCTGATCATCAAAAACAGAATGTTTTTTTTAGAATCAACCTTCTGATGGGGTGAACACAAGCACTTGTGATAATGAGAGTACATTTGAGTCCATTTAATGTTTCGTTTAGTATTTTTTAAATATTTAGTTGTTCAGTCTCTCAGCTGAACATTTCTACCAGCTACTGTAAGTATTAGATTTAATATGAAATCTTCACTTGGCAAAGCACAGTTTTGATTATACAGTAGCTGGTGATTTATTTAAAAGAAATTAACTGAAAATATTAAGCTATGGTTTTTTTCTTTATATGAAAGTTCTTACCACAATGCATAGTCATATTTCTGTAGAATATGTTTCTTAATCATGTTTGTTGATACAGTATCTGTTAGAAAGACAGTTGTGAATTCCTTGCCCAGTATTGTCCATGAATGTATTTATGAAAAAAACAACAACACCATTGTATAATTTGTTTCAAAACAACCTATGCAATTATTTTTATCCAAAAATGGGATGGCATTGAATTATTTGCAGAGACTTGAAAAGGCCTTTATATCACAGGATTTCTCCCCAGCTTGCTTTGGCAGAGCCCACGAGTCATATATCACATCAGGTCCATTGCTTCTGCTGACTGATACAGTATGAGTAAACAATGGGAGGAAACACAGTCGCTGAAGAGAACCACAGGTGAAAGGTCATTTGTGTGGTATTTTTGGAACATTTCAATATATACAGTATGTATTACCTGTAAAATCCTGTGTGTGTTCGGGATTATCTTGTTTTTTCATTCCTTGCATGTGAAGGAACCCTTTTCTGTAACATGGGAGTAACAGATGGTGCTCTTCTTTGAACAAATAAATATCAATCCAATCTTTTTGTTTGGGGTGCTGGTTTTGTTGTGGTTCTTGGTTTGATGGAAGAGATTTGAGAGCTGAGATTCAAACAGTGTTTGAATGGAAATGAAATGTGTTATGGTTTAGTTACGTTATGCTCCTTATTCCATGATGATAAGGGAAAATAAGAATGGTTAACTTTGGTTTATTTGCTGCACCAGCAAGCTGGTATCAAGAACTGATATTGGAATTAAATTTTGCCATTGAGTGGATTTGATGATTGATCATGAGGTAAGAGCCATTCACTAAGTGTTATGAACATCTCTAAATACTCTAGGAAAGAAAATGTCTATCTGCAAGTGATGAAGTAAGGTAGTGACAAAACCATTTGCGAATACTTGTGGGTATTTCTCATTCTTGCACGTATCTCCAGCCTGGAAAGACAAAGTCTGTCACCTGTGTGTAGAGTGATGTGGAGCTCAATGAGTGTTCTTCCTGTTTTAAGGTATGAATGTATGATTTATCTTATTTTTGACGGACTGTAGTTAATCCTTGTTAACATCCGGTACTTTAATGCACAGTGAGTGCAATGATTGTGTTTCCTAAAGGCCTCCTTGGTCTGTTCTGCCATGGAGATCCAGTGTTGTACTGTAATTTTGAGAATGTTTGACCTTCCTCTGCTGCTTGTTTTTAGAAACAGTGCCATTTCTGGGCTTCTGTCCAACCCTCATCTAGTCCTGGAAGTCAGCCATGCTGCACAGAACAAATTATACTTGTTCTTTAAAGTGTAAGAACTGGGGGTTCTCATCCTGATGTCCAAGGCCCCATTCAGAGCTGTGCACACCTTTGGACAGCTTCCTGAAACCAGACACGTCCGAAAACTATGTCCTGTATATAATGTATACTCTTTGCACTGCCATTTTAATTCATATATACCATTATATTTAGATCATGTTCGTATCTTATCTGCAGTCCTGACAGAATTACATCTCTACTGTAGATAGAAATGATATAAGCATGTGTATATATAAGAGTCTGTATGTCATCAGTTTATTGCAAAATAATAAGCATTTCTGTATAACAAAAAAATCATTAAAGCTTTACATAGCCATATCTCCTTGAGGAACTGCAATTCTTCAAGCAAAATAAATAAGATTTAAGTTGAAATAAAGTAAAATATGACAGTATAAGTGTTAAAAATTGTTCCAAAAACAGGTTTTATTTGTGAAGTACTTTTTGTGTATTATCCAGTAATTTTCCAGAGTCACTGCAAAACAGGTCAATATGTAGTGAAACTAACCTAACTGCTTCAACTAAAAGTATATAATATATCAAGAAAGAGACACATTTGACAGTTTCAAGCTGCTTTTTTACATGAACAAGTCTTTAACAATTTAAGGTGTGTTACTGTAGAACTGGCTCCTTTTCATTTTTATTGATTGAAAGGATCATTGTTAAAAAAATCTAGTTTTGCAAGAGTAGTAATATGAAGGAGCAAGAAGGAAAGGAGCTTTTCTAAATGAGCATACCATATTTCTTCTTACCTTTTCAGAGGTATTTGGTAAAGAAGCAATCCCTAAATGATTGCCTTTAATGGATTCATTACAATTATAGCCTCAATATAATAAAGTTCAGGTGGGTTCTTCCTGCACCATTTCACCAACTTCCACCCGTCCCTCAAATATACGGTTAACATATCTTCCACTACTCTTCCGTTTCTAGACATCAACTTCTCCATCAACTACCCCTGACTGTCCACTTCAGTTTATTACAAACCCACGGATTCACACAGCTACCTTCTGTACAGCTCATTTCACCCCAACCACACTAAAAACTCTCTTCCTTTTTCACAGTTCCTTAGGCTACGACGATTATGCAGCGACGACATCGACTTCGAGAACCAAGCCCTCAAAATGTACTCCTTTTTCATCAACAGAGGATACCCCAGCAGTGTGATTGACAAGGCCCTTGCCTGAGCCAAAAACACCCCCCGAACCATCAACCCGATCAGGAACTCCCGCCGTAACAACCGCATTCCTTTGGTGCTTCCCTATCACCCTAACACACTTTCTATCCCCAGGACTATTAACCACAACTTTTCCATCCTACATGATGATCCCTCCATTGGGGCCCTCTTTTCTGATCACCCCATCATCTCATATCGCCGACCACCTAATCTGCGTAACCTCCTTGTTCACAGCTCCCTTGACCGCCCTCAACAACCATGCACACCAGGCACTTTCCCTTGCAACAGAGCTCGCTGTATCACCTGCAAGTACACATCCACCAACACACTCCTTCAAGGCCCCTCAGGACAATTCTGGATCACCCAGATGGCATCTTGTACCTCCAGCGACCTTATTTACTGTATCTCTTGGAGTAAATGCCCAGCCATCTACATTGGAGAAACAGGAAGGAGACTCGGAGACCGCTTCACAGAACACGTCAGAGCTGTGAAGATTAAAGATCTCTCCAAGCCCATTCTTTCTCATTTCACCTCTGACGGCCACGACCACTCTAATCTCTCCGTCTGTGTTCTCAAAGACAGTTTTCCAAACTCATACATCAGAAAGACCACCGTAACCAAACTCATACTGCAGCTAGGATCACACATTCTTCCTTCGCTTAACGACAGACTACTGTTCTTTTAAATTTTCTCCATTCATTGGAAGTTTCATTTCACACCTCTCTGCACCCATTCTGACTTCATACCTCTTGATTGGCCTCTCTTTCTGTCCCCTGCTCCCGCCTCTCACTCCTCCTCCCTCCCAGCCTTTGTTCTCCCGCTACTGTACCTTTGCCTACTGCCTTGTCTCTCTCACACCTGAAGAAGGCTCCACGGCCGAAATGTTGTGTTCTCTTTCTTCTTTTTTTCAGCATGGAATAAACCTGTTACTTGTTCAATATAATGAAGTTGACACAGAACAGTAATTTCGATCATAGTAATGTGACAGTGACATCTAATCTGCTCCATTATTTAATTTTAGTGCTTTGACTTTTCTTTTAAGATATCGTTTCTCTTCCCACTTCAAGCGGCAAAGTGGAACAGAAATGCATTATTATAAGTCTGAGGACTCTGGAAATCATGGGCTGACGAAATTGCCAACTAAATTTAAGTTGCAGTGTACCTGGAAGCTGGCTCTATTACATATTGATCGATCATTAACCCTTCACCTGGTTGAAAGTAAATCTGCCTTTCTATGTAAAAGTGAAATAAATCATAATCCTAAACAACTCTTACATTTTGCTCTTTTACTTCTTTTAAGCAACCTTTTCAACCTGAAAAGAGTGAATTATTATGAGGCTTTTTTTGCCCCTACATGTTCCTAAAAGGATTAATGGTGCATCAAAGTGAAAAGCAGGCATAAAGTGCAATTTGCTCAGAGCAATAAGGAATCTCTCCTGACAAAAGATTAAAAGCTGTAATACTCTTGCCCATTTATATCCTAACGTTTAAGGGTATTATATAGCAAAGCAATACTCTTCAGCCACTTCAAGTCAGACCCTGAAGCTTTTCATGCCAGTTACAAAAGTCTTACAGCGCAGTCATTTCTGAGTTCAAACACTGCGCATAATTGCAACACTTTGCGATAAATTAAACACTTCTTCAGCCATAGCTAGAAAAAAAATTTAAAGGTTTAGTATTCATCTAACATAAGAGCCACATTAACTTTTGCAAGATGAAAGGGAGTGACATTTCTAAATACAAAGCTTTAAAGTGTTATTCTTCATTTTTCTTGCACTTACAGCCCATTACAGTAGTTTTACTTATTTACTTTTTTTAAATAAAAATAATCAAAGCTGCCCCTTCAGTCCAAATGAAGTATTACTTCCAGGAATACATCTGGGCCCTCTAAGCTATACAGATAAACTAGATTATAATGCATTCTCTGTATTCGGTGCACATGTGCTTTTGATAACTGCTCATATATCCCTAGCAGACTGAACATTGGAAAATGTTTTCACTTTACTTATAATGTAAAACAATCCTAAAAGACAGGTCGAGAATAATTACTAGTCAGAGGTGGAATTTTCACATTTTAGCCATTGCTCAACGAAGATGATATTCAACAAGTATATTCTGTAGGAAAAGGTGAAGCAGTTTCTGTCATTTGTTAAACCTGTGGTGTGGTGAAGAGGTGAAAGTCCATTCTCATACCTGTAAGTACGATATGACGGGTGACTTTATTTAACAACTCATACTGTAAATGATTAGTACAAAAATATCTTGTTAATTTATCCTGTTTTCTCTTAATTTGTTAAGAGGTTTCACCTCCAAAATAGGTTCCTGTACAACACAAAATATTGTAAATAATTGTATAACATTGTATTGCAAATAATATAAAATATTGTAAAGACATGAAAGAATGTATTAGACTAAACACATTTCACATTCTGTTTTCTAACTGCTTTCTCTAATACAGGGTTAAGGAGGAGACAGACCCTATTCCAGCATTCAATGGGTGCAAAGCAGGATACACACAGAAGGGACGCCAGTCCAGTAATGGGTTAAATAATACAAATGTTTAAGATTTGTTACAGTGGACCTGCATATTTGACTAAGAAAGCCAACTGAATGTCCCATTTATTTCTGTTCTTCATTGCTGTTTCCTTTGAGGTTTTGATGAAGAACCAGGCCGTTACATTTCAAAGTGATTCTTTGAGCCACTCTTTGATGTTCTTTTCACTAAGCATACTGTACAACACTTATCATTTAAAGGAGACTTCTCTGATTTTTAACTGTGTGGCATCATAAATCACACAGTCGATACTTGAAATGAAATGCCCGAAGTACAGCAGAGTTCGCAACTTCAAGAATATCACCAACCTTGGATACCTTTTAAGTTAAAACTATGACAAAAAAACTAGAGATTGAATGCTTTAGAATGAAATTTCAAACACTGTTATCTTAATGTAAATTATTTTATAAAAATAATTTGAGAAAAAATAAAATAAAAGACGTGTCTAACATCCTATTCATAAAGCTACCACCTGAATGAGTTGATGTTTTTAACATATTCTCGTCAACTGTCGTATTATGGTCCCTGTCCTTTTTCTTTGCTCTCTGCCTCTTACTCCACTGTGGTTTTCTCTTTTTTGTTTTTAAAATGGAAGGGGGAACATCATTTCACCTGTTTCCCAGGTCTGGGTGCAGAGCATGCACACAGCGATCTGTCAGTGCGCTGGTTGTGAAGAGGAGTCAACACATTAAAAGATGAATTCCTCTGGTTCCAGCAGTAAATACCTCTCAAGCGAAAGTGGAAGTGACAGTTCTTTGACACCTTGGTGAATTCTCGTCCACATTGCTGCTCGAATTGCGCATCTTGCCAAGTGCATTAGAGTGCGTGGAGTACTGCTGCATACAGCAAAGAGAGAGTCGTAGAAAAACTGGTGTTGCTGTGGAGACAAAAAAAAAACTAACTTCAGATTGTGAACTAAGTGCTTCATTTGTACACTTTTACCTCCATGAAACCCTTGCTCATACAGTTACTTTGCATTCAGCATTAGCAACATAGACTAAGTACTGTGCATGTTAATGGATCCATGGGCTAAGCATACTGTAGGTATTTTCTCTAGAAGTGCTCATTAGTTAATGCTTAGGAAATAAATTCAAAGTGCCTGAACTAAGTCTTCATCAACATTAGTAAGCAAATCTTCCTATCAATGCACCCTACTGTACTTTTAACAGAATGTACTTCTTGCTACATCAGGTCACGAGGTCAGCATAACCTTTTATTCTATAAACTGTCAAGACTTGGCTGTTGTGTTAACCTGAAAAATAAAATAACACACATTTTAGTGGTATTTCTGCACTAGTAGCATTTTAACACACATTAGTTTAATGTTTTAGGCTTGTCACAACGTAATCTGTAATAATTTATAGTTGAACCTGAATTACAGAGCACTGAAATGTTTCTGAAATGGTCTGACTATTCTACAACTACTTTCTGAACATCGATATGGAGCTATCGATGAATGGTCTCTAGCTCATGAACGGTCCAGACTCAAGTCAAAATGATTCACTCATGTTTAATTTAAAAATTGGCTGAAACACTTGTGACCCTCACCACTGTAATGAATGAAACGTCTTTTTTTCAATTCAGAAAAAACGTGGAGAAACACCTTTTTACAAACAGCCATTATGAATTGAAATGTTTGTGAACTGATCTCTACTTTTGTCTTCTTGGAGAGCTACACATATACTGAACTGTAATTTCTGAGCTTATCTAAAAATAGTAGTACTCTACTAAGTAAAGGCATATTAAAATATTCTGATTGGAAAATAAAATGCAGCATTGAACTCTTACCTTGTATACCATGTTGGGAATAGCCGATCTCCAACTCTTTGTGGCTTTGATATGTTCATATGAATTTATCATTACCTCAACTGCCCTGGGATATTGATGGCAAGACTGAAGCACCTGTTTAAAAATATTTTTTAAAATTAGGTTAAAAATGATTACCACCTCCCATATTGCAGTCAATCATATTTATCTGTGGTTCTGTCATTCAGTGGCATGCATTAAAATGCACTTAAAATGATAACGTCACAATGTAGGGATTTCATCTTTTAACACCACCACTGGACTTTTAATTAGGCATTTGAATTAGCTGACACACATAAGAACTTAAGAAAAGCTGCAAACAACAAATATATTTTAGCAGCTAGGTGAAGCTAAAATGTCATGTGGACTATTTTTGTAGGAGCTCAGTTTGCGCCACAGCTTCTGGCTTAAAAGCCAGTTCCAGATGCTAACAATAAAGAAATAATGTCCCATGCTGAGTCCTAAATGGATTTCCTATTGCTTTTCAATTGTAATCCCATGTCCTTTTTCACAACTGAGTTTGTAATAGTTCTCTGAGTTTACCATACCTATTCCTCTTAGAAATTTAAACAGTTTAATTAAATCTCCTTTCAATCTCCTTTGTTCAAGATACTAATGGGATTTAATTTCTTTTCCTTGTCTATTTATGACAACTCTCAGACTCTCAGACTCTCAACTCTCAGATAGTTGCTCTTCTTTGAATAACTTTTTCAAATACCCTTTTTGTGGTATTGTGATGAAAAATTAAAATGCTCTGAATGGAGTTCCACTGTGTTGTAAAACATAACTCTTAATTTTAATTTCACACTTTATATTATATACGGTACATGAGCATCTAGTTTAGTTTTCTATTGCTTCCCAACAATGTCTTACTAGAAGAATCACACAACAGCCTTTCTGATTTTATTCTTAATTTTTCTATTATTCTATTTGTACACTATTTTCCTATACTTGATTTTATTTGTTTTGGGATTATTTTTTTGCATCGCTAATCTTGTGTTTTTGAAGTCTGACCATCATTATTCAATTGACTCTACCTCTGTCTTTTCCCAGCCCATTGCTTGTAAACTCTGCCTCATTGCTTCATATCCTGTTCCACTAAAATTATTAATTTAATTTTATACTACTGTACTTCGGATGTTGCCATATTATGGTTAAAATTTCCAAATGGTTCTACTACATCTGTTTTCTTAATTTGTTTCGTGATGTTTATCCATTTTAACTGTATCAGTTTCAGATTCTGAAATTATATCTCCTAGCAGAATATCCCAATTTAAGTGTGGAAAATTGCAGTCTCCCTGTAATACATCATCACCTTGCTTGATCTCATTATACAGGAAGCTATCTGTGCTTATATGTGCATTAGGTGTTCACTAGCACACACCAATTGGATTATTAAACCCCTTATAGTTTCTTATTTCCATCTTTTCCCATATGACTTCCAAATTGTCTGTGCTGTCTGTATGTAATTGTTCTGTAGGAGTAGTTTTTGATAGTGTCCCATTACAACACCTCTTCAACTGAGCGTGTCCTCCCAGAAATGTGCAATCAATCAATTAATTATTTTGTTTTGTTATAAAACCTTTCATCCTCCCCTAGGCTTGTTTCAGGTATACTCTTTAGTCACACATTTTATTCCCTATGAATGCAATTCATCTAGGATGGAGGTACAGGGTTTTAGAATTGGATGTGTTATTTAAATTTAATCCCAGTGTTGCCCTGAGCTTTCCGGATCCCACAAGAATTAGCCTATTGTGTCTCCCAGTTCCTTATTTGAAATATTCCTCTACACACATTGGCTCAGCATATTGGTGCTCCTCTGGAGGATTAACAACTCATCCTGCTTGTATTGGTCCCCTTATGTTCCATGAAGGACAACCAGTGCTTCACAAATGTTTGTAGGTATCTTTAGAACATAAAAAATACTGCATTAAATAGCAAGCATGACTTTACTAAACGATATCGAGGACAGTTTTGTTTTGTGTCACATTTGCACCTTGTGGAACTGAGGTGGGTATATTCTCGCAGCTCCGTGGTTTAACAGGAGCTGGTAGCAGACTTCAGGCACCCCTGCCGGACGCACAGACGTCACTTTTAGTAGATATTGTAATGGAGCACATCCATTTATATCCATTATTCTGGCGTTTGCCCCTGCCTCTAGCAACATCTGGATGAGGATGTGATCACAGTTCCAGGCAGCCTTATGAAGAGCAGTTTTGAAGTCTTCTTCTTGCAGATTGACGTTGGCCTTGTAGTCCAGCAGCATGCGGCAGACCAGGTGATGATCTGAGCTGTACTCCTGCTCCTTGTAGTTGAGAGCCCAGAATGCTGCCGTGATCAGGGGCGTCTCCATGTGAGCATTGACACTGTCTACTTGTGCACCATGGGCAATGTACAATGCAGTGAGCTCTGGTATCCCAAACCGCGCGGCCGTGTGCAAGGGGGTGTCCTCATCCACATTGTCACTGTGTCTGTCCAGGTTCGCTCCTGTCAAAGAAGGAATACACAGCAGAACACTTGGGGCAGAACTGAAATTCTAGAGAGAAAAGGTGAGAATGAAAGTTCTTGACCACACCAGGTTGGCCACAAGTGAGAGCAGCTTATTCGGCTCATTGTGCTCATTCAAGCCTGTTTTTCTGTAATTAGTATTGGATTCACTGAGAATAAATGGTATTTAAATCAGATGTTCAGGAGGAAGGTTAGGTCCTAATCTTGCATGTACAGTGCCTTCAGAAAATATTCAGACACCTCCACTTTTTTCACACTTTGTTGTGTTGTAGATTTATTTCATAATGACCCCATAATGACAAAGTGAAAACACATTTTAGGAATTTTTGCAAATTTATTAAAAAAAAATCAGACCCTTTATTCAGTACTTTGTAGGACCACCTTTAGCAGTGATTACAGCTGCGAGTCGTCTTGGGTACACTTCTACCAGCTTTACACACCTGGATTTGGGCAGTTTCTCCCATTCTTCCTTACAGATTCTCTCAAGCTCTGTCAGATTGGATGGGGAGCGTCAGTGAACTTAAGGTCTCTCCACAGATTTTCTATGTGGTTCAACTCTGGGTTTTGTCTGGGCCACTCAAGAACATGCAGAGACTTGTTCCGAAGCCACTCCAGTGTTGTCTTGGCTGTGTGCTTGGGATCGTTGTCATGCTGAAAGGTGAATCTTTGCCCTAGTCCAAGGTTGTGTGCACTCTGGAGTAGGTTTTCTGCAAGGACCTCTCTGTATTTGGCTCTGTTCATCTTTCCCTCAATCCTGACCAGTTTCCCAGTCCCTGCCACTGAGAAGCATCCCCACAGCATGATGCTGCCACCACCACGCTTCACCGTAGGGATGGTGATGAATGGTATAGTACCTGGTTTTCGCCAGACATGGCATTTGGCATTCAGTCCAAAGAGTTCAATGTTTGTCTCATCAGACCAGAGAATCTTTCTCCTTATGCTCTCAGAGTCCTTTAAGTGCCATTTGGCAGACTCTAGGCAGGCTGGGCTATGCCTTTTACTAAGGAGTGGCTTCTGTCTAGCCACTCTACCACAGAGACCTAATTGATGGAGTGTTGCAGAGATGGTTGTCCTCCCGGCAGGTTCTCCCATCTTTACACAGGAACTCTGAAGCTCTGTTAGAGAGGCCATTGGGTTCTTGGTCACCTCCCTGACCAAGGCCCTTATTGCCAGAATACCCAATTTGGCCGGACAGCCAGCTCTAGGAAGAGTCTTGGTGGTTCCAAAAGTCTTCTATTTGACAATGATGGAGGCAACTGTGCTCTTGGGAACTTTCAATGCATAGCTAAATTTGTATACCCTTTTCGAGATCTGCGCATTGAAACAATCCTATGTCAGAGGTCTACAGAGAGTTCCTTGGACTTCATGATTTAGTTTTTATTTGGGACCTTATAAAGACAGGTGTATGCCTTTTTAAATCATGTCCAATCAAGTACTTTTGCCACAGGTTGACTACAATCAAATTCTAGAGACATCTCAAAGATGATCAAAAGAAATAGGATGCATCTGAACTCAAAAAACATGTTCTCAATTTGTCATTATAGGGCATTGTGTGTCGATTGATGGCAAAAATGAATCAGTTCAATCCATTTTGAAATAAATCTACAACACAACAAAGTGCGGAAAAAGTGGAGGGCTCTGAATACTTTCTGAAGGCACTGTATATACAGTAAGTCTCACAGTCAGGGTTTCATTCCACTCATGTTCCTCGCATCCCCACCCTTGCCATGGACTGTACATCCTTGTAGCAGCTCCCTAGCTCATTCCTCACAAAAGAGAAAGAGGGTTGGGCAGCCTGTCCAGCTTCGGACAGGCTGCCATTCCCTCAGCTAGGCAAGTCACAACAAATGCTGTATACATATCTGTCTGTCACAGTTAACATCCCTCCTATCTCTCCTATCTCTGTTATGGATTTTAGTTCAGTTATTTCCTGGTGTGACTTGTTTATGTTTTGGCTTAATAAGCCTAGCGTCTCCGTAGCTCCTGGCTCAGCTTTGGAAAACGGACGTCTTAAGGCCCGCCTACCACCCAGGCGTCCTGATCTTTGAGCCCTGGGCTCGGAGCGCCTGGTCCCATGATGCTTTAATCTCTCTGTGTTCCTGGTCTTGGTTCCCCTTCCCAGGGATTTTAATCGTCGTTGTCTTGGGTGGATCTCCCGGATCATGGAATACTGACTATCCACTTTTGGGCCTGCCTGGACTTGGTTGCCTTGGCTTTTCCCGTGCACCGGATCACTACTGTCACTGCTCACTGTCTGTCATCACTGAATAAACCTCTTTCCCTGAAGTGCGTCTCCTGCCTCTTCCGGACTAAACCGTCACTCATAGGGTCTTTACTGCACACTCCACGGGAGGCTGACCCAACTCCCACGACACCGTCTCTCTGCCCCATTCATTAGCATCTAACAAAACTATAGAAAGCATATACAGTATACAGTATGTATGGATGATAAAATGTATACTGTAAGTCCTGATTATAAAACTCTTGGGTGTATCGTTTTTGTACCACATTCCCTTCTGTTGAACAAAACCTATTTGCATTAGTCCATACATACAATACAGTGTGCTTACCTTTCAGAATGAGCTGCTTGGCACAGTCCACTGATTCTTTCGTAATGCAGTAATGCAGTGGTGTGTGCCCGCTCAGCGAAACACTGTTGACTTTCGCTCCATGATGTAATAGAAGAGAAACGCTGTCGCTGTCAGAAACCTCACAGGCAACATGCAGAGGTGTCTTCCCATTAGGTTTTCTGCTGATTGAGGCTTTGTACTCCAGAAGGACCAAGGCAGTCTCCACATAGCCATACATCACACAGATGTGAAGGCCTGTTGCCCAGGAGGACTCCAGCTTATAACCGGGCAACCAGTAACCTACCAGCAAAAATACAGAAATACAGATGTCTTCATTTATCCCTCATTCCTTACAACAGATTCAGCTTTCCTTGACCAGAGCACTGGAGTCAGCTTTTACTTCAACAATGTCTAAGAGTCTGTTTCGAAAAGCTAAAATTTTATCTCTACAGGGATCTGCATTTTACCAACTGTTTTCTCTCAACTAAAAACATTTTGTACAATGAGCAACATTGAATAACACATTTTCTAACTACTCCATAAATATTTTTTCTGCTGGAACCACATTTCCCACTTAAAATATATAACATAGTGTAACCCACTCACGACAGTATAATTAAGTTTACAAGAAGAGCTACCATTTTTTATCTATGTGGTGAAATCTCTTTTGTGCCCATAAAACTGGAAAGACGTCTCTTAATGTGTATAGCAGGTTAAAATCTGCAGGGTTTGAGACTTGTAATGTGAGGTTACGTGTTTCAGAAAGATCCAGTGCTTTCTCTAGAGGTCTGACTCCCCTCAGTGGTGAACTGTGCAAAGCAGATATTTTCTCATGTTCAGTCTTGATGGAATGTGCAGGATATGATAAAAGACCCACTTTTTATCAGAGCTGTCCATTTTGCCTTAGTATCTAAGAAATAAGCACAGTTACACATTCCATCATATTTTATGTTTTACAATTACCATTTTACAAATACACCGTAGCATTTAACCAAGAATGTGATTTTAAATAATCTCTGTAACTTAGTTTAGTCACATCACACTTTCTTTGTCAGAACTTGGGTACATTCTCTCTTTTTGAGCATAAAATGCAAGTGCCTCATACAGTGTTGCTTTCTCCATACCTTGCTTATATGATGCCAAAATCATGTTTCTGTCTTCGACTTCAAACACAGTGTCGACATCTATGCTTGTAGTGTGCAAGATATGCCTCACTTGCTCGAAATCATTATGTTGCAAAGCCTGCAGAAACTTGTCTTTCAGACTTTTCACAGCTTCAGATCTGGCTGTGTGCTCCTCCATTGTTTAGCCCTAAGCATTAAGCCTTTGAGACTGTTTTCAAGAACATACTACAGGCCGGGAGAGAAACTGTAATATAATCACTGCAAAGGCAGGGGAGACTATGCTATTTATAGAGAGCTTGCATAACTTGACTGCCATGTATCCAGGCTGGAGATCAGCTCTATGTGTGGATCTTTACATATTCAACTTAGTTAATGCTTTAATGCTGTTATTCTTCTTCTTAATTACCTTAGCAGGCACCCTTTATAAGAGTGACTTATAATACATATATGAAATACTTTGCTGCAAGTGTTGATTTGAAATTAAAAAGAAAAGGGATTTTGTAAAATATGAGTAATTATTACTCATCCTTTTGAAGTCATTAATAACTCACAATAACTCTAAGTAACTCTCAACTCCTTTTTAGATACATTTAGAATCACAAATTATATGATGTACCCAAGCACAAGTACCCAAGAAGAAGGATGCTTCCAGGGGTTGAGGTAGCTTGGAACAATCTACCCAGCCATTCTGTTGAAGCCAACACCCTGGCTTATTTCAAGAAACAGCTGGTTGAGACCAATTCATTATAATTAATTTTATTACTTATAATTAAATAAACACCAAACAGGCTAGATGTGCCTCCTCTTGGCCTCCATATGGCCTCCTCTTCTTTGGAACAGTTTTTATGCTCTCCTCCAACCTGCCCTCTTTCAACCTATCCATCATGTAAGACATCACAGGTGTCAGTCTGTGAGGGCCAAGAGAGCCCCAGCTGATCCCACACAGCCTTCAACAGTGTCCAGCCGATAGCCTCATAGGGTTTAGTCCGGGGTTCGATTCCAGACCTGGGGTGCTATCTGAATGGAGTTTGTACTGTATGTTCTCCCCATGTTTGTGTGGGTTTTCCCCAAGTACTAGGATGTCCTCTCTTAGCCCAAAGCCACACTTGACACGGATGCCGGTGGCTAGCCGTGGAGAGAGACCGGCGAGACAGGAGGACCCCATGCGTAGCGGCAGGAACCGAGCAAACATGGGTGTTCGGTCCGGGCTCAAGGTATCGGGCGGAGTCTGTTAGTAAATGCATGGATGCTTCATTATTTTAAACCGTTCCGTGATATGTTTGTCACGTGATTTTAAATTCTGTATTACTGAATACATACAGTAGTACTATATAGAATTTTTTAATGACATATAGTTACTTACTCTTATTCTGCTGAAAGCAGAGTAAATACACTGAAGATATCAGAGCAAGTAAAGGAGTGGTCTAAAGTAAATTCCATTCTGAAAAATAGAAAGGAGAAACACAATGTTTCATCTGCTGAGTTTGAAAAAGGGGACCCAGTGAAAGTAAGCAATCTCTTCAAAGGCATTGACCAAGGTGAGAGAAAGAGACCCAGCATTTCGGCTGTGGAGCGCCCTTCCCTATCTCCCAGAGCCAGACACCACCGGCTCTCTGTTATCACAAGGACCCAGGCGGACTTTGGGCGTCACCTAGAAGGACCTCTAATCAGACGCATGTCTGCTCAGTTCCTCCACCCTGCACGGGAACTGCAACCCTTCCCCTCCCAAAAAAATGTTTTTTTTAGTGCAAAAGTGGCAACCCTAAGTGAAGGACTAAACGAAAAAAGTACAGAAGCAAACAAAGTAAATAAATAAACTATCGTGAGTACAGAACTATCAGAAAGGCTGCTCTTCCTGACACAGCGAAAGACGTTGGGCAATGACCCTGTCCCACACATCTGTATTTGGGAGTGTTCTGACCTTCTCCATCACTGTCTGGTATGGGAACACCTCAGCCCAGGACGCGTAGCAGCTAGAGAGAGTAGTGAACTGTATATTGCCCCCTGGGCTGTAGGAGGCCACCTTCCCTCTGTGTACTCACTCACTGCTCTAGTCTGCCCCCTCCCACCCTGTCCTCCTCTCTGGCAGGGGCTAGCTCTGTCAAGACAGGGGCTGCTAGGTTCCGAAACAGCCCCCACCCATGGCTCAGTGTTATGGTCTCCCGGTTATTTATTTTATCACTGGTGTGTGTCTGTCTACTGTAAATCTGGTGTGTGGATGCTGTCTATTATTGGCTTTGTGTTGTTTAAGAAGTCCGGCTAGGTGCCTGTGTCAAAGGGACAGGGAAAGGTTTATTCCATGCTCAAAGGAAAAGAAGAGACACAACCTTCACACTGTCATCTTCTTCTTCACACCTGAAGGAGGCTCCACAGCAGAACAGTTGTGACTCTTCTTTTCCCTTTTCAGCATGGAATAACATTTTTGTATGTATGGTGTGTCTTTTGATTGCATGAGCTCACCAAACCGGATTCCATGCAACAAGTTGTTAAGGGCCATAAAGTATTAAGCCTAAGCCTGAACCTGAACTTGAACTTGAACTTGAATCGGAAATGATCACACGCTTCGAACTCTCCCTCCGGCCAATGCGCTTCCAGCAAACCGTATTTAGCCCGCCCCCTAGCCAATGGGCTCTCGGAACTGTCGCATTGAAGGTTGACCGTGCTCGCAATCTGATTGGTCCAAAGTTGGTGCACAGTATTCCGACTTTAATTCCGAGACTGAGAGCTTGACAGTGCGCGTCCAATACAGCATGGGGAAAATTTTAATTGTAACAGCTATTGCTGGTGTCCTGTTAGCTTTTCTGGGAGAAAGATACATGACGTTCAGGTACGTTGCGGTCTTATGGGGGAGCTGCGTTTAACGTTTAAACAGTGTAACAACTACTGTAAGTGAATGTCTTCTCCAGACACACTGCGCATTGTTCCATTTAGCAGGGTGATAATTCTTTAGTACAACAACCGACTAGTCCACTTCTACTTTTTGAGCATTGGATTTAAATCATGAATTCTTTACAGTTTATTATCTCACAGGAGTGGTTCTTGTTTGAAAGCTAATAGAGATATTCTTAAAGAACATGCTGTGGATGGAAAATACAAAAATGTATTCAGATTTAGAAGTAATTTGCCTGACGTGAGTGAAATGAAATGCTTTATCATAATATTAACTTACTCTCACATGACCTTTAAACACGAGATAGAAAAGGTACTGCCGATTTCATTACACGGAAATCTGACAATAATGCATCTATGGTCAGTCAGGCTCTTATTTCTGTAAAAGGTTGCTGCAAAGCCGGAGCCTATTCCAGAAACAGGGCGCAACCTGGACAGATAGCGAGTTCATCGCAGGGCACACCTGCACAAACTGAGTTTAATCTAGCCAGGAGACACCAGTTAATCTATGACCAGGCACCCCAGAGCGACTGTCATCTTGTATGCTACGTTTTGTTATTAACGAACTGAACCGCTCTGTAGACTTGTTGAAAAACTAGTTGCAATCGAATAAGACACTTTAAAAAAACATTTAAAAAACACAACAGACTTTGTGGTTTAATCGAGTGCGCATTTGAGCTACAGTATGAGCGTTGTTCGCAAATTAAACCCCAGAGGCAGTTAGTTTCACCCTTTTTCTCTTATCTGTCCGTAGCGCTAGTTTATAGTTGTGCATGTGTTAATCAGCTGTGAACCATAAAAGCAAGCCGTTATCGAATTAGTAATTTCCTTTGCTTTTCCCGTGAACAATATCATTTTGACAGGACCTCATTCCTTTTAAACCTGTGGTGGACTAATTTACCAGGTGCTGTTTGGGTGGAGTCTGTGCGTTCTCCCCGTGTTTGTGTGGGTTTCTTCTGTGTGCTTGGTTTCCTTCCCACAGTCTGGAAAAACTGGCCCTGGTGTGAGCGTGTGTGTCTGTTTGTGTCTGTTGTGCCCTGTGATGGACTGGTGTCCCATCTAGGGTGTATCCTGTCTTGCGCCCGTTGCTTACTGGGAAAGACTCTTGACCCCAAGAGGCCATGTACTGTATGTATTGGATAAAGGGGTTAGAGAATGGATGATTGTATAGTATTTAATGAAGTGTAGCAAGTACAGTAAAGAGCTGGGTAGCAACTACAGTATGGGATCATCCCCATTTAGTAAACTATTTTGAACCGCTGACATTGACCTTGTTTTAATCTGTGTGCCTATCTACTGTGCTATGGTTGACTTCATCGTGCCTTTGTGAAACTGAGTGTAACACATTACAGCCTGGATTGTGCCAGTCTTTCAAACTCTATTAAGAAGCTCACTTTTATGTTTTACTGCATATTGAGCTACTGTATAATGAGGAGTTGTGTAGGGATGGTAAATCATAGAGGTAAATAACTGACATCCATTGATCAGTTATCAAGTAAACAAGATGGGTAGCCACTTGTTTGTAACTTTTGCTCCTGAATGTTCCTTTGTAGGACAAAGTTGATGGCTTCCAGAGATATCATCTCAAATCATCTTCCGAACTGTGTCTACATTAAAGGCCTTGGTGAGTGTTAGTGTTTAGAACAACACAACATACAGTACTGAAATATTAAAAGAGCCAAAGTCCTTTGAATTTTAAGAAAGACAATGTTTGTTAGAACCAGTGATGATAGTTTAGAATTGTTAGTTTAGCTCAGTTTTAGGAAGTTTAGAAAGATTTGTACAATACAACTCCTCATGTGTCTATTGCTGTTATCAGAGATGTGTTATGTGTCTATTCAATTATAAAATATGGCAAGATTTAAAATAATTTCTACTCCTGCTTCCAGTGTACTTTTACATTTAATGTGGGTCGATCCTTCTGATGCTTCTTAAACTTCCTCAAATTCTTCTTCTGCAGGTCAGTGAGCCAAACAGCAGGGCTGAGTCCTCTGTTTCCATCTAACAATGCTGTGGCTTTGTGAGCTGCTTACAATAAAAGGAAAACCGATATTAATCTGATAATTAGCAAACAGGAACAACACCTCTAAGGCTGTGTCAGTTAAAAACAAAAGATGTTGAGACTTTTTAAATTAGCAATTCAATATTCATACCCAGTTCTGAAACAAATGTGGCACTCATGTGCAGAATTGTCATATACCGTACAGTACCTTTTTACATGCTTCATGCTGTATACTGTTCATCATACTAGATGCAGATAGGATTCAGATGTTCAGAGGTCACACACATTGTTATTAAATGGATCAGTCACTAAACAGTAGGATGATGAGCTGCAAGAGTAGCTGTGATACCTTGCAGAAGTATTCCTCACCTTTTTTTGTCACGTTTTGTTAAATTACAAATGGCGTGCTCACATTTTATAAACAGAACGAAATCGAAACATGAATGATCATTCTGAACCTTTTTATGGCTGAGAGAAGTTAAATGTCAACAAAAACTGAAAAGAAAAATAAAAAGCTCAAATATTTCTGATTGCATAAGTATTCACCACCCTGTGTCAATATTTGTTGGAAGTACCTTTGGCAGCAATTAGAGCTGTGAGTCTTTTCAGATAAATCGCTTCCAGATTTGCACATTGGGATGTTGCAATTCTATCCTGTTCTCTTTGCAAACTTGCTTAAGCCCTGTTGAGTTGGTTAGAGGTCATTGATGGGCAGCAAGTTAGCAATAGATTTTCAAGTGGGACTTTGACTGGGCACTCAAACACATTCATTTTCTTAATCCTAAAACACTCCAGTGTGGCTTTGACCTGCTGCTTTGGTTGATTGTCCCACTGAAAACTGAGGTTTCATCTTCGTTTAACATCTCTAGCAGACTAAAGCAGGTTTTCCTCTAAAACTTGCCTGGATTTGGCTCCATCCATTTTCCCCTGAGTCTTGACAAGCTTCCCAGTTCCTGCTGATGAGAAGCAGCTCCATGACATGAAGCTGCCCCTGCTGTGGTTGACAGTAGGGATATTGTTGACTGAGAGCTGTTGGGGTTGTGCTAACTTGAATGTGTTGCATTTAGACCAAAAAATTCTGACTTTGTCTTGTCTGACAATGACAAGACCCATTAATGTATCACTTAAATGCTTTTCTGCCATCTCATTGTGGGGTGCGAGATGAGCTTTTTCTATGGCTTTTTAATGCAATGAGCCTTTTCATTTGGCAGAGATTCCTCTTTGTCACTCAGCTTTGACTCATGGACGCTTTTTCCCCATCTCAGCCATGTTGAACACTGTAGCCCTTTCAAAGTTGCTGTTGGTGTCGCAGTTGCTTCCCTAATCAGTTTCTCTGTTGCCCGGATGCTCAGTTTGGAAGGCCTGCATCAACTGGGCAGCGTCCGGGTGGTACGATTCACTTTTCACTTCTAAATGATTAGTTTTACTGTGTTAAAAAGAGATGTTCAATATCTATGAATGAAGGCACATAATAGGAAAAAAAACATGGTTTAGCTTTGTAACCTCTGTTGCCCTGATTATTTTGCTCACTTTCACAAGATAAATCTCGGATCATAATGTAAATTACAGTCTGCAATAATAGACACATTCTTTTAACTATACTGTAGAGAGTGTAACCCAGTTAAAAACCCAATGTACTTGTCACATAATGTACGTATTTAAACAGCGTATACAGGTGAGATGGAAGGGGTAGCCTCTTCAAGGGGTAGTTCAGGTTGACAATTGTTTTGATGACAAATTGTGCTCCAGAATACGTTTAAGCATCAGTGCCCAGCAGTCTCCTGGATAAGTAAGAGACGAGTGATATGCAGTCCAGTCCTTACTGTACCTTAACTGTGATGAACATCATCTGGTTGCATTACGTTTAGTATTAATTCAGGGCAGTGGTTAATTGGTTGTGTGTCTTGCAAGGGAAACGGAGTCTTTACTTTCTGTACACAGTACTGGCCATAAAATACCCTTTATTTTTAAGAATTACGTGGAAATAATTCCATGTTAAGGTTGTTCCAAGTTAAGGCTGTAGGTGTTCCACAGATAACTGTGAAAACCAAATACAATTACATGAACCACAACAAATTTAATTTCATCCTGCTGAAGAGCTGTTTGCTTGCTGAAAGAAATCATTAGTTTGCACTTGTTAGCTCCTTGTTCTTCAGTACAATATTGTTTGTTTCTGACACTAACCTGCATGTTCACTCTTGCTGTAAAGGAGAAATACCTCCATGCATTTTCTAACCCCTTCTTCCAATTCAGGGTTGTAAAAGAGCCACAGCCCGTTCCGGCAAGGGACAGTTGGCACAAGGCTAAGTACACCCTGGACGCCAGTCGATCACGGGCACACTCGGACACAAATACAGACACACCCACACCAGTGTCAGTTTCCCAGAAGCCGGTTAGCCTACCAGTATGTATGGCAGGAAACCAGATTGCCTGGAGGAGACCCATGCAAACACAGGGAGAACATACAAACTCCAGATACTGCAGATACTGTAGCATTCCAGGAATTGAACTGCTGTGAGGCAGCAATGCTTACCACTGCATGGGGAAATATATTATATTTACACAGTAATTGAGGTAAACAAAGAACAAAAGATATCCTTACTATGCAATTTAGTGGTACAGTACATACTGTATGCATATTAAGCAGGATAAATGAAATTGACATGGTTTGGTCCTATAGAATATTACAGTATGTAGTGCAATTGGTTTACTCACAGAACAGCTAAGTGGAGTACAGTACATAGTATTTAAAGTTAGGATATGATGTTTTCAGGGGGAAAAAAAAACACAGCAGGACTGATATGACTGAGAATTTGTAAAAGTTCTTTCCTCATTTTATCGTTTTCCTCATTTTATAATGGCCGCTTCTTTTAAGCTATATTCATAAAAACAATGTAGATGAAGTATTTACTATACATATTTGTATAAAAATGTCATGTGTTATGTTTCTTTTCTGAATAGAGCTGTTTTAATTTCCTTTTTTTTTTCTTTATGCAAAGAATATGGATCTGAAGATCTCACCATACTCCCAGGCGGACTGGCTCTTATTAGTACAGTAAGCCTTTGCGCTTACAGTTTGTGCATGTTTTCTGTTGTTTCTTACAAATCACCAGCTTTGGGTTCTGACAGATGTCTGAAATCTAGATTGTTTTAAAATATTTTTCATGTTTTTTGTCAACCTAAGAAGTGAAGCATTTTAGATTTTAAATTCAAATTCTTAGAAAGGAAACCAGCGTATTTTGCAAAGTTCACTTTTGTTCTGCAAAATACTGTACAGGTACTGTATATGGGACAGGTCAGGCCAAATTTAAAAATGTTGTTTCAGATAGGTGAGTTCTTTGTTGCTTCGTCAAACATTTTGTTTTAACTTGGATTTTAAAAGTACATTTAGACATTTTCCGTATATATTCGATCTATATTATCTCTTCACCTTTAGTCCTAGTGAACGTTTAATATTGTGATTGAGTCATAATACCAAAGACATCCTAGCCTGTTAAATCTCATTTTAAACTGGTAATAGATCTTGTGTTTCTTGGAATGATCTAGGGTTTGAAATATCCTAACCTCAGAAGGCTTTCTGATGATCCGGGAAAGATCTATGCTTTGAATTTGGAGGAAGGGAATCTTAAACCTGTGGAGCTGAAAATAAGTCGAGGATTTGATCTGGATTCCTTTTTCCCACATGGAATCAGCACGTTTATTGATGAAAAAGGTAGAGTTGGATAGATTGATAAAAAATAAGAGTGATCAGTGCTCTAATGTTGTTCTAGCAGGGTGTGGGTAACATGGCTGTCTGTTCTTGTAAGGAATACTTTGCTACTGGGTTCAAGAAAGAGGAGATCCGGGGTTGTTTAGTTCCCAAACATGTTGCTGATTGTCTTTTAGCAACACAGCATTTTGTAAGTAATTTAAGTCTCAGCCGCCGAGGCTCTTCAGGTGTGAGGGAGAGAGAGTAAGGTGACAGGCATTTAAAGCCCAGGAGAAGAAAGGACAGACTACTGTAGGTGAAACTGGGCTCACAGATGAGAAACCGTGTCCACACAACAGCGAACTGGAAGGGCTGGGGGAGACTTAACCATTTCGATATTTTTTAATTTTTTGGTCATTTGTAGAAATGACATGTTCTGTATTACTATTTGCTGTAAATTTCTGACTCTCCAGATCAGACAGTGTACCTCTTTGTGGTAAACCACCCTGACTTCAAAAGCACGGTGGAGATCTTCCGATTTGTTGAAGAGGACAGCTCCCTGACTCATCTGAAAACTATTGAGCACGAACTGCTTCACAGGTATGCTTACATCTGCCTTGAGTTTCATCATAATGATATTGATTAGAAATTGTTCTGTGCAAGTAATGTAACATTATTCTCGTGTTGAAAAACAATCACTGAATTTATTGAATGCACATAAAATCACATGCGGAGATATGGTCTCCAGACTGGCGTCCCGTCCAGAGTGCTCTGCCTTGTTCCCATTTCTTGCTGGGATAGACACTGGCTCCCCTGTAACTCTGAATTGGATAATAAGTGGTAAGAATATGTACAGTATGAATGGGTATGGTTTCCAGAATTACCTGTCATTTGTTTCATTTCATAAACTAATACTAAAATGGCTTAAAGCAGAGAAAAAGCATCAAAATATTATGGAATTTTATTGCAGTTTTCCTGCACCAATGTTTAGAACAAAGATAGCAGAGCTTGCCGACTCAAATTAGCTGTCATATTTTAATCAGTGGAATCATTTCAGTATGATATTATCATAGTCTTTGAGTATGGTTTCCCTCAGTGCTATGCCTTCTGAAATGCATGCAGGCTAGGTCAGAGTACTCCCCTTGATCTCTCCTTCCAGGAAAGGTCTTTTGTTTTCCATGAGAAAGGGTGAAGGGCTCTTAGCTTCCCATCTCTGAGGGCTGCCTCACGTGGTCGCACACACTGTAACACGAACAGAGCTTGGTTCCACACGGGAAAGTAGGAAGAAGAGAAATCCCAATGTTTTTCTTGGAAGCCTGCTTCAGCTGTGAGGGAGGGAAAGGCAGGGAGCAGGAATGTAAAAGGAAGGTGCGTGTAAGAAAGACATAGGGGGTGAGAGAGCATCTGAAAAAATGGAAATCTGGGAGAGAAATTCCAGGGGAAATGTGAAAGTCCAACGCCTTGAATGGAGAGATTAAAGAATTGAAATCCATTTCCCCTAGCACCTGAAGAAGGCTCTTCAGCCAAAACTGTGTGTTCTTTCTTTCTATATTGTATGTGGAATTCTCATCTACTTGTTCCTTTGAAGTTTGTACAGTACACTGACTCTGCTCACAACTCTGATCTCTTCACACATACAGTAGTACTGTACATCACTACTAATAGCACCACCCTTACTACTGTACTTCAGCACAGCATTAACCCTAAGCATAGAGGGTTCGGCACAGTAGCAGTAGTTTCTTATCTCTGTCACACTAGCTACTAATCTCCGCTTCATGTTTTGGAAAACGATGATATCAATAATAAAGTCTTCACCCCAGCTAGGAAGACTGAAGGAAAATGACTAGAAGATTTTTTCTTCACACTACAGGAAACTTTCCTGCACTACGTGCCACTGGGTTAGAATCTAGAACCTCTCTTTTGTCATACGGTACATTTTTTTTCCAAGGTAGCAAAATAAGTGTCGTATTTGGAAATTGAAAACTTGCCCATAATTTCACTTTTGCATCAAATTAAATTAAAATCGAACAATCATTATAGGCAACATATGTTACTGTTAACTCCTTTGTATTATGTAATGCCTCTGTTGATTTAATATGCAGTATTTAAACATTCATTATCTGTTCTTGTTTCCTGTCTTTTATTAGTGTGAATGACATTGTGGCAGTTGGACCAGAAAGCTTTTATGCGACTAATGACCACTACTTTACAAATGCTCTGTTCTCTGTGGAGTACATGATTGGCTTAGCCTTGTGCAATGTAGTGTATTACAGCCCTGAAGAAGTGAGGGAAGCAGCAGCAGGGTTTTACTCTGCAAATGGAATAAACATCTCTCCTGATAAAAAGTAAGTCACACAATAAAGTTTGCACATGTTTTTAGCACCACGAAGGTCTGAAAGCATGTACTGTACAGTAAGAGATGTGTACCTTGTATATACAGCATGGAATCAATAACAGAAGTCTGATTGGGATAACAATAGCAAGTTCAATCAGCTGTCACTAATTGATCATCATTCCTGACGTCATTTCCTCACAGACAATAGAAATACTGCACAGAAGTTCTCCCTCTCATTCATGTTTTTGCATCCAAGCTCCACCCCATCTCCACCTTTACAGCTGCTCCTTGGTCACTCCTCTCTCTGCCTGGGGGTCCCAGCCTCCTTGTCCTCTGGCTAGGAGGTCAGCCCTCAGCCAAGCGGGAGACTAAAACACTCAGTTAACCTTTCAATAAGATTAAGATGTTTATGCAGTATCTTAAATTTGCTCCCCTGGGGATGAATGACTTATTTTGGATTGAAATGACATAATCCTTTGGTGTTGTTGTTCAAGGTGAAATACACATTATTAGTTAAAACAAGTACACAGATGTCTTTGTCTGCATTTCAGAACAAAGGTTAAGGATAACAAAATTACACAAGCGCGTGCAATTAAGTGTTAACCTGATCAAAATTCAATGTTTTTGAAACCTGGTTTTTCCATGGGTAAATCTTTTGCTTTGCAGTAAGCACTTAGTAGAACAGTTAGTCAGTTCGTCCAACTGAAACCCCAAACCAACACAACCAATAAAGCAATATAATGTAAAAACAATTTCATTTCAGGCACCTTTATGTGGGGGATGTTTTTGACCACGTTGTTCATGTCTTGGAAATACAAGAAAACAAGACTTTGGTGCCTCTGAAGGTAAGTTGAATCACTCTTGCAAGGAATTATAATATTGTACCTAATTATCCAGAATCAAAATCACTTATCATTCTGAATCTCAACACAGTGCTTTCTGTGGAGAATTCAAGGTGCTTCGTTTGTAGACTCTTATGATTGAGTCTACAGCTAATGTAAAGCGCTTTCTTCTTCACTAATTTGTTTTACATGTAAAATATAAACGTTAGTTCTCTCTGACTGTAGACAGTATAAATTGTAGGAATTCCTTGAAAGCCATGAAAATCCTTGATCTAGAACAGAAATCTGGTTCCAGAACAGAAAGGACCTTTTTCTAATGTGTAAAAGGAAGTAACTGTATTCTAAACGTCATCTTATAACGTCCCATGATTCTACACTTTTCATTATATGTCCTAACTGCTTGTTGATCTTGTTTATTATGTACCCACGTTGTTTGGTTTAGCTCGCTGGTTAATTCTCATAGAGGCCTAAATCCCCTTCTTTGCACAAGGAACCAGCTCTGCCTTAAGAGCCAGTTGAAATTCTCTGGTTAACAGTATTAATGCTAATGTACTGCATTTCTTAGGTTGTTGGAACGATATCATAAGTTCAAGTTGAAGGATTACTTCTAAGAGCTACTCGTTCTTCTAACACTTATTCTGTACCTCTGTTATGTCAAAACTATTAAAAACCAAATTTGTTAAATAAATAACACAGAAAGTAGATGTGGGAACATTGCCTGATAACATAGAAGTGGACTCTGTCACTGGAGATTTGTGGCTGGGATGTCACCCTAACGCCTGGAGGCTGTTACGCTACGATCCTGAAAACCCACCTGGATCTGAGGTTAGTAGGAAGCCTGTGTAAAGACCACACCATGTGCTTTTGACATATTACAGCACATCAAACTGCTTTGAAATATTTGGGGATATCAATGGGCCTGGTCAACTATTTACATCTCGTTCAGATGACTTCATAAGAAGGTACAAAAGTCGATCTAAGACGGTACAGAAATTGAGTTTTTCCAGAGGGAATGCGTTGGTGTTGAGAGATTATTGTGGATCCAGCACAGCTTGTTTGATGGTTATTTATCTTGGGAGTAGCACTTACTGTAAGCCAACTGTTTATTTATTTTTAAAATGTAATATATTCCTGATGTTTGAAGAAGTTTGCACTTTTTTATCTTGCAACCTGTTCCACATGGTGCAGCTTTTTTAACTTAGTTTACAGATCCCTAAATTAGGGCATAATCTTATCAATACATAAAGTTTTATATGAAATTGGCCACAGCCTGTTCTTATGGGACCCAAGGAGATGGATCAGATCTGAAGTAAACACAGAGTGCAATAAGTTTAATGTATAGACTCCCAGCAATGCCCAGATAGTGTGTACTGTACTTAAAAAAAACCTATATTTTTCATCTTTTGTAGGTTATCCAGATTCAGAACATTCACTCAGAAAAGCCAACTGTCACCAAAGTGTACGTCGATGATGGTCATGTTATTGAGGGTTCTTCAGTTGCAACTCCATACAAAGGGAAGCTGTTTATAGGAACAATGTATCAAAAGGCAATCATCTGTGATCTGAAGTAACCTGTCTATGTGCCTCAGTGTAAACAAAGATTTAAACTTTAAAGAATGTTTGTGATGTTTGTAAATCAGATTTTATACATGCAACACAGAAATGTGAATTGTGAAACAATTATGGGATGACACTGATAGTTTTTTTTACTCCAGTAGATTTAACAGATTTAAATTTACAGAGGTGTAGGTTCTGTATGTGTCCAACAGCACAAATATTGCAGAACATGCGTACATATTCCAATGTATTGTTTTTTGTTGTAAACACTACAGAATTGTTGTGGAGTACCTTCTGTAGTTCTGTTAAAAGCTGCAGTCTTGTGAGTGTACAGTAAGTGCATCAGGGACATTCAGGAAAGGATGGAGAGAAACCCCAGACAGCTCCACTGCCATGTGCCACTGTCTTGAGGACATTAGACTTTCCAGTAATTCATTCTGCTCAAGTGATGCCGGCTTTTTGCTTTGATGCTTTCAGATAACAGTGCTATAATGCATGTTCATGGTGCTTAATGATTTCATCATACACCTCAGCATCAGTGTGTGTTTAATGTGATGTAAGGATGTCATACTTGCATAAAGTATGCTGGGAGCACCATCCTTGATTTTTCAGTCAAGTATAAACAAATGTGCTGGACAAGAACCTGCTGACAACTGTCTGAGGAACACAGCCTACTTTCTGCTGAAACTCTCCTGGATGGTTACCAGTGCATTTTGCAATACTGAGATAAATGTAACACTTGGAATATCACAATATCCAGCTGAGTATCTTTTTTGGCACCAAGGTTGAAGAAAACAAGTAAACAATAAAAACACAAAATGTTTTTTTTTGTTTTCGTGTTTGCCTTGAAATAAATTGTGAGATTCTGTCATTTCTACTTGAATATCTTCTGTTTTTCATTATGTTTTAGAGCATTTAGATGACTTTAAACAGGAGAATAGTTTGAGATGCTATTCTGATGTAAAACAACTTTTATTTTGAATAAGCATTGGGTTTCCACCAATTGCCACAATACTGAATAAAACTTGTGCGACTTCATGTCACTCTTGTGAGAGGGTTTGTCGAGTTTACAGTTTATGCCTTTCCATGTAGAATGCCAGCATCAGTAATATTTGTAGTAGTGCACAACAACGTCCACAGCTAGCAAAGCATGGTTTGGTATTTAGAGTGTCATACCAACCAGTTCCACATGAGCATATAGTAGTTACAGCTCAAGGAAAGTGTGGATTAACTGCCTGAAAAGTGCAAAGCTCCAAAACACGTACCTTCTTCCACAGCTAGAAGAGTGTGATTGTCTTAATGTTTTTGGTGGTGCCTGCCTGTACTGGGAGATCAAAGCACTCAAAACAAAGGACATTGCAAGACTCCACTTGTTACTGTCTGGACTCGCCAGAGCTTCCAGCACACTTTAGAAGGCTGTCTAAGCTGTATGTTGCAGGCTGCTTAGCAGACAACTGGAGACACTCCTAATATACATTTGTGGTACAGTATCTTCATTCTTGTGTGAAGTTCAGGGTTTTGGAGATTAAGAAGGTTATGCACCACACCAGCTTTCAGCCTTATACCAGAAAGGCGGTGAATGTGTATATTGTATTATGTATCTGCACTTTGCACTATGTGTATCCTGTCTACAATGTCCTGTCTGTCCTGTCTGTAGTTGCACCGTGGACCAGGGGGAATGATATTTCATTCCACTGTGTACTTGTATGTGGCTGAAATGACAAATAAGCGTGAACTTCAACTTGATAAGGTCAACTTGACGAGATCATGCTTTGGCCCATTGGTCAGGCTTCTCCTCAAAACCCTGTCATTTCTTAGAGCCAT